ATTTATAAACAATTATAAAACCCATTCAAATCAATTTAACACAAATCAGCACATAAACTCATTGGTAATTTCCACTAGACATTAAAAATCAAATCCACTTCTGAGAATCAAAAACATATCAAAGAAATCAATTGATAGCTAAATTAAGCAATTAACCAAGTGTCACACCTACCATCAGCTGAGATGGGTTCTCCTGTAAAGAGCATCTCCATGGCCAGTTTCCTTGGAACCGCTCTGCCAAGGGCCACCCCAGGAGTTGAACAGAAGAGACCAATATTCACTCTGAAGAAAACAGGCCACCAAACTTTTCATTCTTTACTTTTAAATCCCTTGATATTTTCCGCTGAGGACGTGCTACGGTCGAGTCCATTATGAGCCCCCTTAGTAAGTCCAGACACAAGTCCTTTCAAGAGACCAATCGTAAGTATTCAATAACAGATGAGCAATGACAAAAGATGCTTTTGTCACAGTTCACTTGAATAGAGGGTTTGCATGGCTGCCATCTTGCAGTCCAGTGCTTTTGTTCCACAGGGTATGCACAAAGGAGGCTACCCTGTGGAAGAAAAGAATTATGCTGCAAGTTGGCTACCATGCAAAGACTTTATAGCCTGAGACTTGGCGAAGGACTGGCTAACTTGCAAGGACTAGAGATGGACTGTACTGTAAGCTGCTTGGAATCTTCATAAATCCTCTTTAAAGTCCTTCATCATTTGGGAACCAAAGGCACATTCTTTGTACTTCAAGCCCAGTGTTGAGTACTATTGCTGGGCTCTACCTCCCTTGATCTTGCAAAATCTTCCAAACCCACCTGATGGATATTGAAGGACTCCTGACAGGGTTAGGGTTCAGTGTTAAAATAGAGACAAAATACACGTAACTTTTTGGACCCTTTTGCTTTTTTTGGCCCATGAACTTTCTGTAATAAGAGCAAAGTGTTGTGAGAACAAAGTGAACATTTGAACATTCCAGTATGAGAAAACAAGTATTATAAACCCTAATTTAAAAACATACATTTTATTCTTTTGTATGATTTTCAAAGACTGGCGAAATATTGGGGTGGAATTTTCCTACACTAAGAAGCTCTACGATGGCATTCACGATTTAATCTCTGGACTAAAGCTTTCCATCACACCTTTCCTTACCCCGGTGTTGCAAACCTGGCATTCTCAGATGCAATGGCTATGTCGCAGCTCGCTACCAGTTGACAACCAGCTGCTGTCGCCAAGCCTACCAAAAACAAAGAGTGCATATAAATTAGCTGTTCCCACTCTGGCAACTGTGGGTCAAAATGTTGAGCCCTTTAAGTACGGGATGTTCTCAGAGCCAATTTTTTTCAAAAGAGCTCGATTGTAGCACATGGAGACTTGTAATAGAAATCAGCACCTGTCTTCACAATTTGAAGTCTCACATCTCACATTCTGACTTTGAATATACACACAACCACGAATTCACTTTTCCTCTGGAATGTGATTACAGTACCTAGGTCAACACATGTACTTTGATATCAGCGTGTTATACAGTCAAGTATTTACGAGAAATTTGCCACCTACAGAAGTAATCTGCTTTACATCAAACAGTTTACCAACCAAGACACCAGCCAAATTATGCCGGTCCTCACTGGTTCTAAGTTGATTTTGGCTCAGCAAATGAATTTAATAAATCTATAAAATTGGAACCTGGACAAACTAATTAATGCCATGTCCAACACAGGTTTCTGGCTGTGGCTAAGTCTACTATGGGCATGTGTCTACATACATGACATACATGCAACCAGTGAAGACCAAGCCCGAGGCACAAAATTTGGGCATGGCCAAACAAGGTCATGTAATTTCTTGCATTTTGAAAGTTTGACGTCTGGTTCCCAAACCTACCTTGCACCTGGGCTATGATGGGTACTGGTAAATCTTGCAGTAGCATCATAACCTGACTGCATGTCCACATGACCCTGGATTGGAAGGCTCGCCCATGTTCTGTGGTCTATAGAAGTGAACACATGTTTATCAGCCAAGATTTATGAGTTCCTAAGATGGGGTGGGATCAATTTGGTGTGTACGTACTGGGTGGGGCACAGTACAGTAGGTCGTAGTTGGGTTGGGCACAGTGAACTAAAACTCTGTGGCCACTTTAGCTAGGAACCTTGAAGAATACTCCGAAATCTTCCATCGTGCAAGAATATCAGTGGTAAATATTTGAACCTAAACATAACAGAGCATCAAGGTCTTTGTATAATCAGAGATCAATAATGGGTCCATGGTCTGCTGCAAAGCCAGAGATGACAATCGAGCCATGGTTTGAATGAGGGTCACTGGAGACCATTCCAATAGGCCTTGTCACACTACGGCCTCTCAACCCGGGTTGAACTCGACCCTCGGCAACCCCCAACCGCCCTGGGTTGAAAATTGGATTTTTCAATCCTACATTCGTCCCGGTGTTGTTTTACACTTGTTTTGTGCAAACAAAGCTTATTAGGGTGAATTCAACCCAGAAATGAGCACAAAAAATTCTCAACCCGGTCAAAAATTCTCAACTCTGGTCTGGGGTGACGCAGGGTTGGCGCAGGGTTGAACATTTTTCAAGTGTGAATTGTCACCAGTTTTCAACCCTGCGTCAACCCTGCCATCAACCCCGAGCTTAGTCTAGCGTGACAAGGCCTAGTGAGACGACTGCACCTAGAGTGCCCTCAATGCTTCTTGCACAAAGCCTAGGCCCTTAACACGCAAACTATCTGGTTGACTAGGCACAGATTAACCTCACAGAACCTCACACCACTGGCCTCGCCCCATTTTACAGTCACTTCGGTGTCCATAAACTTGTTATACTTGCCAGTTCTTTGAGGTTGTGTCCGGAGGAGAAGACCGGCCCCCTGGCTGCAATGACAATAGCCCTCAGTTCATCCCCGTCAGCTTTGTGCATGAGATCCTCCTTCAAACTCAGCAGCATGTCCAAGGATAAGGCATTCCTGAGACCAGAACAGCCAAGTTGGGCCCATGATTAAATTCACAGTCATGTCTGAGCAAGTCGACCTGCACAGGCCTTTGTAAGTCAGTAAGTGCTAGTGTAACAGTAAAAACAGTCTGGTATAGATGGCAAGAGTTCTGTATCTGGCAACACATCCATGTAGTTGCTATCACAACAAAATATATCTCACACTGAGTTTTCTTAAACACAAACCCATTCAGCTTCTATAGGACAATATAAAATTGTCAGAGCAAAGCTGTTTTTAGGTTCTATGACCAGCTACAGAACTCTTTCAAAGTCTATCTGCAGAATTGTCAAAGATTCTGCAATGGTATCCACTGCCAAGTACCTGAACAAAGCTGTCTTCGACACAGTCTGCTAAGGTGTTATTTCCATGAGTTTATCAAATATCAGAAGCCAGGTCTGAACACTTTGGCTTTGGCTGTGACAGAGCCCATGCCCCTTCGGAAGTAACTAATGACTGCAGCCGCTTCCCACTGATGCATGTACAAAGCCCTGCCATAACCACTTCATTCATAATTGGTCGTACCTCCTATCTGGGTCGTTCAGGAGAATGGTTCTAACACCATCTTTAGTTTGGCTTCTGAGAGTCAGTGGCTCATCTTTAGCTTCTGATATTCCTGTAGACAGCTGCCGATTGTGCGGAGAGTGTCCCACTGCCCAATGTTGCTGATTTAGGATTGAAAATGGTTCAAGACAATCAACATCAGTTAATCAACTGAGAGGAATAGAAAAAAATACACAGTAATGTTCCCAAAAAATATTGTAGGCCAACAGCAAAATCCTACAAGCTATAATTGTCCATGTTGCATACAGCATGTACAATGTACATGTACCATGTTTACACCCGCAGTAAGCCTATGAACCCATTTAATCTTAGCTACACTGTACCTCCTCCACTCAGACCAACCAGGGCAACTTGGAGCATCATAGAATATGGTCACCCATACTGTACAGGGTCTTATAGGAAGGACAGCAGCCAGCCAAAGCTCCCTTCGGCAATATGACTGCTTCTTCCTACATGCACCTGCCATCATCTCTGTATGGAACAGTCTACCAGACGAAACAGTTGGCCATCCTCACAGAGGCGGTAACAAGTTCTTTCTGAGAGTGCACTGTCACTTGACCCATCAAATTTGGTACATGTACATGTAGTTCACTCTGAAATTTATTTATATATGTGAATCTAAGTTTCCCTGTACATGTACATGTACATGTACCTGTGATACTGTTGTACAGTTGTAAGTACTATCATTAATTTCTGTATTTTTCTTCTTCTCGGTGAGTCTTTTTTGAGGCCAATTTTATGGGTCAGGTTTAGTATTGTCACAAATTTGCAATGTTTTATAAGTTTAAAACCAAAATGCATAAATACATGTACATACAACCCCTGAACACTCAACTGTGGGGTTCGTCATCCACAGCGCTTCCATGAGGAGCACAGCAAAGCCCACAGAGTGTCGGATGGCAAACTGCCCACAAGGGTGGGTTTTACCCCATTAGATACATGTAGCTCTAGGGCAGTCTCAAATTAGACTTAGAATAATCATCAGAACTAGGGGATACAGCTAAACGTATTACTAAACAACATTCAGCATGAATATTATTATCATCATGCATTTACATGTATTTATGCCATTTCTTTTTCATCACATAAAAGATGAGCATACAGGAGAGGCAAAATTGACAATAATCACTGTGGCTAAAGACCTGCCACTTCTCAAACAAATGAATAAAAGCAGATGGCACCCTCTTTGAAGTTAGATGTGCATATACAAGAGCCTGTAAAGCGTATTATATTACCATTGAATTTCAAGCCAGAACTGCGGTGTAGTGGACAGCTCTTTTATCTTAAGAACAAACATGAAATAGTCTCAGCTGGATTTGATTACCAGTTATCGACGTCTTTTTTTATCCCCAAAATTAAGAATATTCTTCTTTTGTTATTTCTTGATTGACTCCAACATTTCATTGCACAGTATATGTATTTCTTTTTCTGATTTGTGGCTCTGGAAATTTTTTAAAAAGGATAACAGTTGAAAATTGTGAAATGGTCTGATTCCCACCTCGTGAATCTGAAGTCATATCGACTATGTTGGTGCAGGACCAGACTAAGATATGTCACGTCCGGTAAGAATTCTTAAGTTTAAAAAATGGTTACTGCTTATGTGATCAGCTAATTATCACTTGTTAGGCATAATGTGCATGACCATATAGTTGCTAGGTCTCTAATTTTGCAATCCATCATCGGTTTGGATGACAAACAAACAATCCATTTTATGCACAACTCAATAATAAGAGAAGTGTCCAACCTGCTTCCATTTCATTAGATACTCCAGTTCAAGACATCCTCTTCTCATAGAGTGTTGCATTATAGATTTGGGATGTAGATACAAATACATGTATTCACAAACATCAAAGTTTGGCAGAAAAGAAAAATTCAAGAAATCCCTTCCAACACAAGTTTTTGTCATTGACCATGCTTTGGCTATTAAGATTGTAAATATTAATGTCCTAGTATTGACCAATCACATTTTCAGCCTAGAATGACTGTTGCCCTTAATAAAAGACAATTAAGAGTGATTTTTCTTCTTACAAATATTTGAAAAATTATTTGAAATGTTGAAAATCTTCCTTGTATGCTATGCATGCATCTGTGAGGAGACGAGCAGATACTTGAAAAACAGTCTAGAGAAAAGTGTAAAATTAATTTCTTACTTATACCAGTTCACTCCCCCCATAGGTTTATGCACATTACGTATGGCTTGTTTGTCATCCATCATGTCCATACCCATGATGCTTTACGAATGGCAAAAAGATTTGTTGTCAAGTCTGATACATGTACAGAGATGCCACTAGCCTATGTCAAAAAATTGGAAAATCGCATGGTGTCGGTTTTATATGTATTAATACATGGGTCTGCGCTCATGTATACACAACGTGCATCTTCGTTGTGTAGTCAGCTATAAAAACAAAAAGTTCTTTCTTGATCATCGCTGGTTGATCACAGTCATGAGTTGCAGCCTACATGTAGGGCAGCCTGCTGTTTTTTGCTCAAAAAGATACATGTACCAACATGACAAAAACTTTCTGCCTGATCCGTAGTCCATGTATGCAGCGTTATGGTCATGATGGTAGTCGGTAGCTCGGGTAGGTTTACCTGGCAAACGAAGCTTTCTAACATACATGTACATATAAGCAGAAAAGAAATCCCCATTGTTATCCTTTTCTTCGAGCCATCTCCATTGAAATTTGTCCTTGACATTTCTTTAAATATCATGAAGATCCTCGTTTCTGTTGACAATAAGATGCTGCATTTTGTCGGCCCTCGAACATAAAGTCGATCCCCGTGTTGATCATCCAACGTATATGCACAATGTACGTTTGTTGTGTACCGGTATGTTCATGCATCGCACATGTCGCATGTGCATGCATCGAGCTGTCCATGACAAGCGATTTACATGCATTAAAGGTCAATATTTAAACATATTTCCAGTCACTGACGACACCACTCAACACCGTCCTTCATATTTCGCACCACAATATGACTGACGTAAGCACTCTACTGACGACTACGCACAAGATTAAATATCCAGTCGTGCGGTGCAGGATACATGCGCATCATAGATTTGCTTCCAGTCTTTTCTTCTTTATTTAATTTTGCCAATGTTAAAAACATTGAAGGGGGAAATGTAAAACAATCAGATTTGGGGAGAAAAATACCAAAATGACGGATCTCTGCATGCACACTGCAAGTTGCGAAACAAGGGACATGCATGGCGACACGAGTCACGACAATACGATTAGGAATTTCCTGGTGACAATTTTCTAATATTAAAGTAAAATATGAACTAATTATTTTTACCTAGGCCTAGGGCCTAGTTTGTTTGTGCTCGGAGGGGCTGTTTAGAGGTTTGTGCTCTTTAAAATAATTTACCCAATGCTAGCTCTTGAATAGTACATTTTAATATGGGCAACTCTTAAAACTTTCCTGGGATGCTTGTTTGACCATAATGATTGATGATGTATCATAATTATCGCAAATACTGCACAAGTGATTTTACACAATGGTAGTAAGGCATTGTAGAAAGGAAAACGGAGCTAGCAAACATTACCCGTTTTTCCATCCCACAATGCCACATTCTACCATTGTGCAAAATCACCATCAATTAGGCACAATATTATACTTTTGTCTTACTATGGCTATCGAAGTTCAAAATAACTGTTCTGAAGCTTTTTAAAACTAACAGAAGTTAAACTAATATGATCTTTTGGCTTTTATGGTGCATGTATTTAGCCGTAGCTTAATCATTTCTATTAACTTAAATAGAAAGACGTACGTTCAAAGACGAGGCAAGACATCGAAAACCTGCTGGTCTTACGATTCTCAAAACTGTCATGGGTGGCGCCATCTTGTTGTCCTGTACGCAGAGGCTGGCTCTATTTGCATCACCTACGGACACATTACGTTTTACGCACCGAGTCAAGGGAAATAGACTAAATGCACTTAAGCACTTAGCACAAAAAGCTGTTCTTTCTCCGGAGAAGTTGCAGGCATAGAAAAAAATAGGAAAGGTTTCTTTCTGCAATATGCAATTAATTACTTAAACTTCAAAGATTGGCCGAGTAATACTTTCCAGCAGTCAGCTGATTGTGAACTTTATGTGCAAAATAAATATGACACAATAACCATGACAACTAGTCCAACAAACAGCACTAACTCATCACAAAGGACATCCTATTCACTTTTTATTGAGAACAAACGATGGTTTTCATGACAGGCTAATGGAGACTCTCTGCAGGCAATATAATATGATCACAATATTGTTGCCCATTAAATGCATGGGCAGCAAATAGATCTGCCAAAGTGTTTTAATACCAACCACTCATTAAAAGGCCCTCACTGAGACGCCAAATTCAATTTTAAGCCAAGCATATTTAATTAAAAAGTTTTTATGGATTTGCCACACTAGTGACACAATCATCTTTGAAATGATCAGTTTCAGTGACAGAAATCATGGGTCTCCATGACAGATTTACAAGCAGTACATCATCTGAATTATTCTTTCTTTTCACTTAATTACAGACCTGCTACAGGATACTAGATAGGGTGGGCTTAATAACCTTAAATATCAATAATTCCCCCCCCTCCTCCACTTCTTCCTAAACCCACCCCTGTCACATCTTTTCTTAGCCCCTAATCCCCCATCAATACTTCTAACTCCATGATACGTATAAAGAACCATTTCAGATGTCTGTTAGCGCACAAATTCCCTTGTAGACTTTTCTAGAATTACCGCCCCCCATGTTCATATAAAATTATTCAAAGGGCAAAGCGACACTTTGTTACAACACAAGTCAATTGCAAAGCCAAAGTCCCCAGGAATACAAATAAGGAGGCGTCCTGTAAAATGGCTAGTCTCACTCTCGACAGTTGAAAGATACATGTACAGGGGCGTGATTAGGCAACCGGAACCCTGAACTACTTTGCGACTTGGTTATGCCTCTGTGACGTCATTATTCCGACCAAACGAGAACTGAAGGTTAGAGTTGGTTATGCCCTAGTTCAAAATGGTGAAAAATGAACAGAATATTGTTTTCGTTCCTCAAATAAGTGAATTATACATTTCAAATTTTGTTGGTAAATGCAGCGAATCAAAGAGATACATTCCTCTAGAATGCACACGAAAAGAAAGCAGCACTGGTGAGAAACACCCCAAATATTGAGTGAAAATGATGCTCCTTAACATGAACTGATTGTGTCTGGTTCTTTGTTTGTATGGACAAAGCTGAACATCTTCCTGGCTATTGCTCTGATGTCACAAACATATTTCTGGTCGGGGGTCGCCAAAACACGGCAAAGCTATCACAAGACTACAACTTGCTTTCCGTCCATCTAATTGTACATGTAATAAAACTTGCACTCTCCAATGTACAGGTATACACATCTGATTCCTAGACCATAGTTTCACTTCCAGCGTTACTTGAAGACTCATAAATTGATGGGGATCTTGGATGATGAGACCTTTGGTCTTGTTGCTGCTCCATTTTCCATTACCTTGGTAACAGGAACATTAAACTGTCTCATGGGTGACTTGAAGATGACATAAGCTCAAAATGAAGTCGAAGCTTTGAGACAAATTGAATACCTTACTAAAAGCAAGGCCCAACTCCACCATTTTGGCCTAGTAGACTTACATGTAATTGATTTCCTTTGCAACTCCGTCAAAAATATTCAGTTTTTTCTTTTGAACTTAATAAAGGTTTTGTTGGAGTTGGGCCCTTCTTCCACTTAGGTACTCAATTGAGATTTGAGAAATGGCTCATGCACCAATGCAACGTGATAATGTGGGTCTGGTGACCAAGTAAAGTTCCTGGGTACTATAGGTGCTACCCTTCCGTACCAGACTGTTCAAGCGCCTTCTCACGCTCCAGATTCAAGGCTGCAAACCTCTGAAGCATCTCTGTGGAGCTCAGGTACCTACTCTTGAAGATCAGTTGTTTTCCGTTATCTGATTGGGGGAAACATAAATGAATCAGTCACTTTCACCATGAGCCAAAAGGTTGTAAGATGAAATGTAGACTACGGGATTGAAAACTAGGGATTATGTAAAAAAAGGCAAAATCTTTACTTGAATTTTTGGGTCTGATCAACAAGTTTCCAACAAAAATGTACTGGGCATTGCAAATGTATGGACTGCCTAAAAAAATCTTTGCTCACCAAATAATACTGTGACTGAAGGAGGCGATCCGTCGTTTTTCACCTTGGTTTTCACAGAACATTTGAGATTGGTTTGCCTCACGGAAGAGCTCCCCACTCTACTCTGGAATTGTCTGCATTAAAGAAAGGTCAAGTTAATGGCACAAATGTTGGGTGCAACAATTGCTTTGGAGAACTGGATTTGGCAATTTTGTTCAAGACTTGCAAACAGCACACAGTAATTAACAAATACAGCAAATCCACTGATTACACTGAATCTAGGATTCACCTTTTCACCCCTTAAGTTTATAGAATTACTGCTTAGCTGTAGCATCTGTCCCAACTATGGTTGGGAGTCTTGGGACCATGCCAGTGTGTGCCATGCCATAGCATGTGTTACTGGTGCTAGCAGGATTTAGTTTTTATTTGTTATGGATGAAATAGTGCCATACTCTCATATTTGGGATGAACTCTGTTGGGAGAGAGCCACAAAAACTTGGCGAAGATTGAGAAATTTGCTATAGAATTTTGCCGCATGATGTATGTAGTTGAGCCAACCAAACTAGTGTTACAGTAACATCTATCAATAACTAAAATATGATAACATCTACAATCCAATTAGTCTGCCTCTCTCCTGAAGGTATTCTTGTCAATCTCTGTGGTGGAGGATTCAGGAGAAATGTTTTACCAAGTACCAAGTGCCAGTTTGAACCCAAGATGGCGAACTTCACATTGAATACGCGTAAAACATTGTAATTGCATGGGTGCCATTTAACAATGTTTGAGCAATCGATGTGCCTGCGCAATGTACATTAATGCAAAGGTGCAGGTGCCGTGGCAGGCACGTGCACCTGGTGAGCCTACGCCTAAGCATTACCATAAACTGCGCAGGCGTATCGCTTGCTCAAATGGCGCCCAAGGTAATTACACCCTTTGGGCAGAGTTATCCATCTTGCGCCTTCGGTTATACGATCTTTGGTTTGAACCATACCAACTGCAATTGGGATTGATACCATACAAATACTGAAGTCCCCTGACATGATGCATATTTTGACATTTCTCTCGACTTTCCACTTGCAGTGTTTATTACATGTTACCAAACATCTTTGTTGAAAAATGTCAAATTCATTCACTTAAAAACCTGGCAGTATTGCCTTTACGCTGTGGAGAATTATCAGGTTCCAATTTTTGGGTGCATTGAGTTTGTTGTGCACTTTGAAAAAGGGAAAAATCAGGCCCAAACAGAATTTCTTTGAAACTTAAAGCAGGTACAGCAGGTAGGTAAAGCAGGTAGGGCCTATGTAAACTCCAGAGTTTTCAATGAGAATGTCGAGAGCTTGCTGAAATTTCATTTATGAAATGATGAAGTAAAATATTAATCTAACAAAGTAACATGTAGGTAAATAAATACATGTACATGCAATACTTACATGTAGACTGTAGTAATACTAACAAACTATGGTTTCTTTAGGTTGTTGAAGCGTATTAAAAACAAACTCACTCGTGTTTTGGAAAGAATGTTGCACCCTGACATGCCTGATGAACTCCATTCATCACTCACATGTTATGCATGACCACTTCAGACTTCAGTGGTTGTGTGCAAAGTCAATGAAGAGTCAAGAAAATTTTCCAAGTAGGCCTAGGCATGCTAGGCCTATGACAAAATCTGAAATGTTTGTCAGTACCAGATTCATGTCTTTTCACCATTAGTGCAATGACATGAATGACCAACCTTTTGGAGATGAACTGAGGAAAGAAAGATTCGCAGGATGCAATGTGGCAACATCACAAACGTTCTTTCGGCAAGATCAGGATGCATGATGTTACTTTTTGTTAGGCTTAGGCTGTGGTATAACCATGGAAACCTCCATGGTACATGTATGAACATGAAGTTATTCCGGCATGTTTGTAAGGCCTACCTTGCAGACGCCACATTTGCCTGCCAAGGGCAGAATTCTACAAGGATACTCTTGACAATTTCAGATGTATACCTTTGATAATCGTGGGCATTATGTTAAGGTTTCAAAAGCAACACGATTTATCCAAACCAGTGCTTAGTCAACTTTTGCCTCTACACATACACAACATGCCTCCAACCTTTGTTGTATATGACCACCAATTGGTAAGAGCGCCACCACGAGGCGATTACTCGTCAGGCAATCATAGATTCCTTGTGGAATTGTAAGGGCAAGAGAAGATCTTCTCTTTTACGTATTTGTAGCATCCATACATTTGTCTATCTTCCATACTGATGCACACTTACTATTTTCTATGCAGAGATTTTTTTTAAGAATTGGGTTTCCTGTTAATAAGAACCACTTTTTAGACCGACATTGTGTACGAGAACAATATTTGGAACAGCCCAGGCCTACCCTTTTTCAAGTGAAAGAGGAGTCTGCTTATTGGACAGAGATATCCCGTTCCGAAAGAATTTCCAAATTAATGGCCAATCACGGAGTAGCTTAGTGCAATTGAATAATCTCGCCCTGCCGTGGCATCCGTGCATTTTACTCACGACACTCGAACAGTGACGTCGCTGGCGGTGCCCCGTTAACGCGTTACGCGAGCGCTACGCGCCATACCCACCGTACATGTACTAACGGCACCTACATGTACGGCGAAGAGCGCGGCCGGCCAAGGTTTGGTACAAACTGGCAAAAAGTAATCATCGTGGAGTTTCTTTTCGGAAAAGTGAGGGACTTCCTCACGACTACAGTAAGTTTTGTACGTCTCTGATTTGGCCGAAATTGGCCTTTACCTCCTCTTCAGGAAGTTAAATATGGCATTGTCTGATTCAGTGATTGTAATTGCGGTCATGCCGGAGGTGATGTACAGTACAGTAGTAGTACTAGGCCTACATACATGTACATGTACATCAGTGTACCGGTACGCACATGTACATGTACAGTGTACATGACGTACATGTACGTCATGTACAGTGTACGGTGGTTCATTTTTTTTGTTGAACATGTCAAAATTATCAGAAATAATATGAATATCACGTCTGTAATTGATCATTCTCCTGGTCGGCGGTTGTTCCATTCATTATTTTGCCCCTTTGCCCAGACATGCCAGACTAGACGTGAGTTTAACTTAGTCTTATTTTATCTCTACTAAATGGCATGAAGTGGAGCATAAAAATAGCGCCGTGGCTGTTGTTACTGCAGCCGTAACGCATCTCCCATTTTCTATCGTTAGGGCACTGCAAGTAACTGTGCAAGTGCGTCAACTTGGGCGTAGATTTCAGACTTTATTTCCCTTTAAAAAAAAACCTCCAAAGCTTCCGATGAGAAAAGAAAAAAGATTCCTGCTTAGCCTAAAGCCCTTTACAATTAGAAACCAACATAAAAAACAATTATGGTATAAAACATGAAATTTATGCGAAAAAAAAAAATGGTCCAAGCACAGATTCGAACTCACACACGAGTGGTTCCAAGCCTTCCACCTCGACCAATCAGCCACAAGTGTTCAGCGATCAAGGTAATTTTAAAATGTATAAACCATCGTGATGATCAGCCATGTCATTGCACTTGCTCAGTTCAGTGCCGTAACGATAGAAAATGAGAAATGCAGTACGACTGCCATAACCATGGTAACGATAGCCATGTGGTAAAAATATTCCCCTAGCTCCACAAATAGGGCTGTAGTGGCTCTCTTTTACAATCTTTCTGTCGCCACCGCAGCCCTACTTCAAGGCATGTCTTAAATGCCGGAAATCCAAACTGCAGGATTGTCACAAACTTTGATTCCTAATATCTTCCGAAATGAGAGTGACTCGACAATTTTACTTACACCGGCATATTCCTCAGAGTTTGGACTTTCATACAAGCACCTTAGAGCTTTCCAAAATCGTAGATTTTCCGATGTATGGCACCTTGAAAAACCCAGCCTGTAGTATTACATGCTGACTGCGGGTGACGCCATTTTGAAAAACGAAGGCAGCGCTTTGTGTGTCGGATTTCAAGACACTCGACAGATGCTCTGGTATACGTTGTACCATACAAAACTGGTTGCCTGTCATACCTTGCGTGACAGACGAACAAGGAACTGGTGAAATTGAACTTGAATAACATTAATATGCATGTGCTGTATCATGCTCCGCACACGTGCTGCGGGCATACTGTACACTAGCAAAGTGCGCGCGCAACTTATTACCAAGCAATACTTTGACAACATGAATCATGCTTCTGGCACCTGTCGAGTGCCTTGACTCCTGACGAAAGAAGTGCTGCTTTCGTTTTTAAAAATGGCGCCGCCCGTGGTCAACATGTAATATTACAGGCCAGGGTTTTTCAAGGCGCTATACATTGGAAAATGTTTGATTTTGGAAAGCTTTAGGGTGCTCGTATGAAAGTCCAAACTCTGAGGAATATGCCGGTGTAAGTAAAATTGTCGAGTCACTCTCAGTTCGGAAGATATTAGGAATCAAAGTTTGTGACAATCCTGCAGTTTGGATTGCAGGCATTTAAGACATGCCTTGAAGTAGGGCTGTGGTGGCAACAGATAAAAGAAAGATTGTAAAAGAAAGGCACCACAGCCCTATTGGTGGAGCTAGGCCTAGGCCCTACTCCTCTTTTTCGATTTTGGATAGGATCATCATACTAACACTCCACGATATTACATATAGGCCAAGTAAGGTTGAAACAGTTCTCAAAACTTCCAACGACTCACCAAAAATACCTCTTTCACCACTTACTGGCTTCCGCAAATGCCAACGTCAAATGGTTGGGACTTGAATGATATTTCTAACTTCAAAATCTGTCAAAATCCGACCGTTTTCACTCGACACATGCACAGCACTTGAACTTTTCGCCACCTGTTCCTTTCAAATGTGCGTATCGAGATTTAGAATAGCTCTATGGGTGAAATATGGTCCTCCCAGAAACACGCATGAGTGGCCTATACATGGTCTGGGCACAAGACTTGTCGATCGTGACAGTTGGGAGTGCTACCATTGACTGTTTCCTTTTTCATTTTGAAAAGTTGGCATATCTGTATGTGCAAATTTAGGGTACTCCTTGGTAACATTATTAATTAGTGTGTGTCATATGCAGTGTAGGAACACTTTATTGAAAATAATATTTGAGTGGAAATTTGACCAACAAAAAAAACGGTCGGCATCTTCTTTTCACATGGACGGCAGAAAAAAGAAATATGGCAGCCCCCATACATGTACATTGCAAAAATTGTCGTTTTCCCGTGAGAATCTGGAAGCAAATTCTCTGGCATTTAGTTGCTCATTAAGATTAGGCATCAGAAAGTTATAATGTTAAGCGTAATCCTGACTCTTGCACAAATTTATCGTACATACTGTACATGTATACATGTACGTGTATGTCCTCCTGAGTTGATTTCCCTTTGGCAAATCAATTCAGGAAGTAGAAAAAATCTATGCAAAATTCAAGCTTGTGGTGAATACTAACATGTTGTAAAATGTCACAGTTACATGCAATGTACATGTACATGTGCAGTAACAGGGATAATATCGTACATGTACTTACATGTACTGTACATGTAGAAACCTTTTACAATGATTCAACCTGTCTCATACATGTATGTCATAGGTGTAAGGCTTGTGTACAGGTACATGTACATGTAGATCTGTAAACAGGGCTTTTGGTATACTGCTCACTTTTTACCTTCCGTGCATCCATTACATTTCATCATGTTCTTGAGCTGAAATTTTGCCAGTAGGACCTACATGTATGCTCATTAGCTCATGAAGTGTCAAGACAAATCTACAGGTTGTACCGCTCTATGTACCGGTATTCGTAGGGTAATCTTTCCACACAATTTAGGGAAAAATTTATTGTCACCATAGGACCGTGTTGTACATGTGCATAAATTTTTGATATTTTGACTTGCTTTTGGTCCAGTGAGCATACATGTACATGTATGGGTCCGTCGCACAGGGTGTCAGGTGATCAGTGTTCTAGCTACGGTGGATGGCGCCGGGCGGCACCACCTGGTAATACAAATTTCTGCCCGGCTCTCGGGTTTAAATTGGCTGTGTCGCCCACCACAGATTTTTCAAAAAGTGAACTGAAATATTACTGAAAATGTACCATTTAGATCGTATTTCAAGCATCAGGCCTGGATGTGAAATTGTGGGATATAATGTAGCCTCCCCCAAGGCAGCGTGCACGTGTCGATAGTCTTGGCTCAAAACCAGCTGAACAGCAGTATCAATACGGGGTGCCAATCCAGTCCGGCTATGAGCCGCAAGAGCTCCGCTCACCTTGCCTGCTCTGCTTTGCAATCCAAAAATTTACCCGGCACTAAAATGGTCCTAGCAAGAACACTGCAAGTGTTGTCTGTATACATGGTATGTGGAACTCTTTCTGGGTGATCTACACCTGTAGATGTTGCCCACAATTGGGGAAAATTTGGAGGCAAATAAAGCTGAAAAGTTCACTGTAGCCCTAATGTCTGTGACCATATAGACGCCAGGTGCGTAATTTCACTACATGTACATGTACCTCCTTTCATGCCTTTGGTACTAGGGACATGCATACATGTACATGTAAATGACGGATGGCACTCTTCATTTGGGATCTAATTTTCCTTGTAAGAAATTGTAATTAAAGTTTGTCTTTTTTCTACATGCAGTACATGTTGCTCCTCGAACTTCCAATTGAAAATTCTTTGAAATTTAAAGTGAACATGGTGAAGCCAGCATTTAATGTATTAAAATGAGGCAAAAGTGACAATAAAGATTTTACAAAAATAAAGTATTAACAGCATTAAGCTTTTTACTCATTATCCACGCTCACTTTTGTTTACAAAATAATCAATCTGCTCTGCATTACATGCGTACAAAAATCTCCATCTCAAAATATTCATAGTTAATTGTCAGATTGAAAGTCCTGGGTTGCTAAAGAACTGCCTGACCATCTATGCCGACCTAGACTTACGGAGAGATCAAATTTGACAGTAATTGGACTGAGGTCAATTTTGCACCGTGGATAGAAGGTGAACTGCCAAGTTAACATTTCTGTCTTTTCTTGCACTTTTCCAATAAAAAGTCATAAACCGTTTTTGTTGATTTCATTGCCAAAGTAAGTACGCATTCCATGTATAACACAGGAAGGGACTTGCAGGTACACACTCGTGCATGACTTCTAACCTTTACGTGCTTGGTACATGTTTATTGTTTCCAGATGCCTCGCTCTTATCACAGACAGTGCTCCACTAGCAGATACTCCAATCACTACAGACATAGACGGAGAAGGAGATCGCCCTCCAAACATTACTATGATGACAAGTATGGATCACATAGGTACAGGTCAAGGAGGTAGGCAAATCTTTTTCGGTTTTTTTGGCAACTTTAAGAACCCTCATACATGTAAGTTGTATTGTACTTGCAAACATGATAAAATGAATAATGCCTTGCTGTTGAGTTGGCAGGCATGCCCTTACGTACATGTACAGTGAAATCTGCTATAAATATCTTACGAGCCCATGTATATTGCCATCAGTGCTGGTGTAAAGCTTTGGACCTGCAGGCTCCAAAATTACCGAGATGGTCTTGTCTTTACCCTCACCACAACAAAACCACGTACAGTACATGTAAAAAGGACATGGCATGGGTACTGAAAACCAGAGTGCGCTTTGTTTGTATGATGTACACATACATGTACTTGCACATACACTGTACAAATGTTTTGGGGAACAAGTCCACTTCCAGCTCTCCAACTTTGCGCAGGCATGAGCGAGTGGATATGTAAAGACCCTATTGATACCAAAAAAACCCTTTATACTGTACATGCATACATGACCACCTTGTCCATAAAAAAATGAAGTTAAGCATACATTTTCAATACAAAATCTTTGATACAGTGCAAGATTCCCTGAAGATTTGTTTAAGTCAAGCCACAAGCCACTAACTAGAGCTCTTACCAATAGTCATCAGTGTACCAAAGTAGGAAACATACATAACAGCCGGGGGAAGGGGGAATGTTGTGACAGTAACCCTTTTTCTTAAGTTGACTACATGCCGTCATTCTGCACCGTGTAAACCTTGGCAGTGAACACAGACTGTCAAAGTACTTTGGTGAACTGAAGTTACTCCAGAAGGGAAGTTGTCACTTTCCTGTTCCAATTACAAAGTCTCCTTGAGAATGCTGCTCATCCAAGATCGTACCTGTTACTGCATAATTACACTTACATTCATGTACATGTACATGTACCTGTGACAACATCCACACATTGTCCCATGGAGCTGTGTGCAACTACTAGAGTGCTAAGTTAGGCCAAACAAAAGAATAGTTGTGCTTTCAGTTACCTGCCCCAACCTAGCAAATGGCGCCGACGCTAAATTTTTTTATCGAAAAAGAAATAAAAATACTGTTGCCAACCCTCATGCTTATTTCAGGGGTGTGAAATTTCTGCTTTTTTGTTGAGTATGCCCAATTTCAATTTCCACATTTTTGCCATTGACAGGCTGGATTTTCCAAATTTTGGTTCTTTGTATTTTGTGGTCTTTTTGCACCGATGCGACGTGCCAGCCAGGTCAAACTTTACACGTCCTCGTTCAGACATGAAACAGTACTGGAGTACACGAGACTGAATGTACTGTACATGCACATGTATAGTATGTGCAGTGTTCTAGCCAGGATGAAATTAAGGGATAGGGGCATTCGCGCGACATGCCTGATGGGGGGTCAACTAGATATTATTTGACACCTGCCCGAGGGCACTGTTTAAAATTTATTACGTAAGCTCCCATTACCCCATTCCATGTCATTCAGTCATTGTAAAAAGCAAAATTATCAGTTTTACTCTGACTTCTAAATTCTACCCTTTTTTCTACCTTTTTTTTGGGGGGGGGGGAACTTCGCTTTGTGTTTTTATTTTGCTTTTGCTAGGGAAAGGAGCAAATGTCTTATAAATATCAGATTCATTACTTCACGATTGTATTTTACATGTGCTTGTCCTTGTTGAGAAGCTCCATGGTACAAACTAGTATGGATGTGCATCAATGAAAAATAACTAGCTTAATTAATAGGCCTTGTCCTCGGTTTTCATTTCATTTTGAAAAACTTCAATCTGAATAGATTCTTGGGGTTTTAACTTAAAATGTATAATTATTCTGTGTATACATATACAAAGCGAGGCATACATGTTTACCTACAGTACATGTACATGAAAAATAACTTAATTCACCTACATGTACATGCAGGCCCCTACCATTGTTTGTACTTTCTTGTTAGGTTCTTAAACATTTGTCAAAAGAATATGTCACATGATCATTTCACAAGATTAGATGTTCGTGCCGAAAATAATAAAAAGTTTTGTCTTAAAATAATGAACACATACTACCAAAAAATAAATGAGAACAGTTAACGATACCGAAATTACGAAGGAAATGTGAAGATCGATACAAAAATACACGTACTACAGACTGAGCATGGATGTGGTACATTAGTCAGTACTATGCACATACTGACCACCGAGACCGTGTGTGTGCCACGATCTTACCAAAAATCGTCCTCGTGAACCACAACAAAGAATATCAAAATAGATGTAACCATCGATATAGGCCTAAATGCATTAGAAGAATCTACAGAGAAAGACCAGGTTTTGTGACAAGTTGGTTGTAGCTTACTTTGTTCATGCTTCAATCAGTTTCGAGTCAACACTATGAAAAGATTGGGCGATTACCGTGCTGCCAGCCATTCCATAGCGGCTGTAGCTGTGCACAATCCGGAGCTGTAGTCTGGCTCCTGACCCATCCACTCACCTTTTACCTTGTACACCTATTACCTTGTCAGCTGCGTGGCGGGAGCCAGTATTGTGCATGCCGTGTGTATGTGATTCTCCACAAAGCTGTGAAAACTTGGGTGTACTGAGCTAGCTGTGCTGCGTCTTGGAAGATCCGTTCGATTTCGGTGAATTTTGCTGATGTTCTGGTGGCTTTTCGCTGGTATTTTAAAAGAATTTCTTTTCAAATTTCTGTTTGCAATTTTTCTTTAACTTAATATCAGCAACTCGTCCCCTGGAAAATGGAAGCGTATTGATAGCGTATCGGGGGATTTTCAGCGTGTCGGGATTTTACTCAGCGTATCGGCCCAATATGCTTTTGAATGCCTGGCTAGAACACAGAGTATGTGCCTACAGTGATACGTACATGTACGTGTATCTGTGCCGCTGAAAGCGCAAGCCTAGTGTGTAAACAGCATCCTGGGACCATACGGTCATGGTGTTGTGATTGGCTGTCAATGAAGCATCAACATCCATACTATACATGTACACATGTACATGTGTCTGTGGGACTCATTACAGCTGTTCCTGCATGAGCCCAAATAATGACTAACCATCTCCACTGTAACTCCACTAAAATGGTATCACACATTTCTCTGTGAATTTACGAATTGAAATAAGGTCAGTACATGTACATTTTCGCTTTTGCTGATAGAGGGTTTGGTGACAACTGGCATGGGGTGCACAAAGTTACTGTGTCATGCATCATCACGCTGGTTTAAATTTAAGTGCTCGTATCTACAAGTACATGTTGATTGTTTTGTACAGGTGTCGTGTTCTCAAACATCTTTTGGACATTAACTTATCAAAATATCATTGTAACACAAATGTACATGTATATGTACATGTACGTGTATGATTGTTAAAAGAGGCTCTGACTGGGATACAATCTGTGACAAGACCGATCCTCGACATACTCTAGTTGAGAACCCCCAGGAAAAAAACAGAGTGGATGGGAAATACACTGTAGACCACCAAAATCACTCTTTAAATTATACAATATAGTAAACACACTGCATCATTTTTGTTCCATCATACATGTACATGTATTTTATTATGTTCTACAAATGCGCGCTTGATTTCAAACTGTCTGCACCTAGAGGGCATCAAAGCTTCTCCATGAGGGGAATGATTAGTTAGTGCTCCTGTAATTCAATATGAATTGCACATTGTACAGTAGCTCTATGATTTATCCGCACTGTACAATACATGTACATGTACATGTATGGGTGTACATGTATTGTACATATATGTGTAGTGTGCATTCGCCTGGGTTGTCACTTTTAACTGATGTGATTCCTTGAGCATGCTTCAAGAATTTACATGTAAAATGCATGATACAGATACAAGTCTTGCAAGTAGAGACTTGCATGCCAGTTTTTTTTTAATACACACTCATGTACGTGTACATGTAGGTCCTACACTGTACATGTACATGTAAGTTTTACTATCAGTTTTGCATGCAGTCTCTTGATAATGCATGTGCAGCACACAATGTGCCACAAATGGATGGTGGCACAGTATGTTGATGAAAATGATGACGTAGGTACATGTACATGTGTAATCTTAACAGACTTGGACATACTGTATAGTACATGTACATGTACCTTTATGCAGTGCCACTGCACAGCTACAAGTATGTGTATTGTATACAAAGCAACTCAATATGAATAAGCAGCTCTTGTAACGGCTGTGGGAAATGTGCACTTTTAATTTTAACCCTATCCATCCCAAATCCTTCAAAAATCCTCTGGGTGGTTTTGGCGGATTTTGGAGGATTGAGGCTGCATGGCAAAATTGCAAATTGCTGCTTGTGAAGGATGCACTGTCTGAAGGTTGTGGGTTAGACCTTGTGTTGTTAATGTTCAGCCATGCATAAATTCTTGCTAGGCTTGGACAGTATTTCGGTATAATCGAATAGCAGTGGTATTTTTTTCAATACTGAAAAATGGAAGTTGGATACCATGGTATTCTTGCTAATATACTTTGAAAATACATGTAAAATACATGTGCCTTTTTATATGGTTAATTTTCAAATTAGCCGGGATCGGCGGAGAGAATACTACTATGACGGCTACCATGAGTATGACTACTGTAGGAATTCTCCACCTAGAGGGGTTGTTTACTATGATGAGGACTACTACATCCCCCGGGAAAGGGAAGAGCTAAGCTGCAACTACAGCAGGAGCAGTGACTACAGACGGAGCCGACGCCACAGGAAGCACCGGCGTCACCATTCACAGAGCAAGTCGTCTGGGGTTAGTATCAGTCGCAAACAGTTGCAGGCTTTCCTTATGGATCTTTGTCAAGACATTCCAGTGCCTGGTATGAGTGCTGCATTTCTGAAATGTCGACAGTGGCAATTATGCTGCTGTTGCATGTGTAGTTACAAGCAGCCAATTGTGTTGCCCAGAAAATCTTGGGACAATTCACAAATGCAGCTTTCCTTATCTTAGATACCTGAATAATTTTATACCTGACAAAACCTGATTAGAAACCTTAGATTACTGAGTTCAAGTGATGAGCCTTATTTAACATCTTTTGGTAAACATACATGTACATAACAAGTACCTTTTAGGTAAATAACGTTTCTAAGTTAAGGACTTGTACCAGAAAATGTGGATGGACTTCAACGAGCACAAGTCTTACTTGATACACGTATAGTAGGCCAACTAAAGAAAACAAAATGGATTTCGTACACGTTCCAGCTTTATTTGCTGGGCTTCGTTTATGAACTTAACATACTCTCAGCAGTTGACTAACATTTGATTTTTCCTTTCATCATAAAAACAGTTCTTTTCATTGCTGTAGCTTTGTTAAAGTCCATCTGTTTTTGGTGCACTACTTGTTTCCTATCATAGTGTTAAAAGAATGTAAGCACTTCCCATCCTGCTGAATGATAAACACCTTCTTCCCCTAATTTTCCTTTTGGCCATTCGGCAAAGTTAAAATTGTGCATTTTGGCACTTGACAATGAAGTCACCGTAGACAGACCAGGAGTTACGGAATTGTTGCCCATAGTGACTTTGTTGTTGCATTGCCTCGTAAATTCTGGCTGTCAGATTGGGAAATGACTGCTCTGTGTGACTTGTTCAGCCCTCTCTGTCAAAGAGACCGGTGGTAAAAGGTTTCATTGAAATGAGCAAATTTTTTTTTTTATTTTTTTTTCTTTGGACTTTTCTCTCTTTTTTATGTGTACTATGAATTTGGAAGAATTGAAAAAGATAGAAGTGGAAGCTGCCTCCATTTTTTCCTTGGGGGATTTTTGTTCTTTTTTGTGTGCATGTCGAACAGGTAAATTCATTTCATGATATGAGCCAGACAGTGGAGCCATTTTTGGCTAGTGGGGAGGGGGCAGGTTTTATACCTGAAGTGTTCTTTTTTCTGAACCTGCACATGATCATTGGATTGACAAAGATTTTGTGTGCCGTTTTGCATCCCTTGTCTTATTTCTTATATTATGTACCACAACCCACCCGTTTGTTGGGCGAATTACACGAATGAAAAACGACTGTGGTACCAACTTCGAATCTTTTGCCCGCCTGTCCATAACCGCCGTCATCTCCAACAACCATCTCTGCTGCTGCCAACGACTCGACATCTCTCGCTGCATTTGCTCAACTGCCGCCGCGGGTGTGTGTGGTTGCACCTCCCACCCGTGCCTGGTTGTCCCATCTGGTCGATGCATCGCTTTGCTCTGTCCGTTTATACAGAGAAGTCGAAGAGAAGAGAGGAGTGCACGGGAGGAGGGGCGGAGTCGAAGGGAGGAGGGGAAAAGTCGAGGAGTGATTGATGACGAGGATGGACACCTTGTGTATCATCCAGGGGACATCCTCCAAGCAAGATGTACAGTCTCAAATGCTCCGTAATCTTTTTTACGTAGTGCCTTATAAAAGCCCCGTTCATACAAAAAACCCACACACAGATGCACACACTCTTCCAGCTTTCAGACAGATACTGTACGTGAATATAAGAAATTGACATGACGAACTCTCTCTTTTTCAACAGTTCGGTGCTTATTTGAAACCCATTGTTTCATTTTTATGGGTATTATTGTCTTTTTCTTTTCTGAGGTAGTTTTTGCATTTTAAATTTAATGAATTTGATGGCTACCACTTGCTACCACCAACACTTGCCTTTACTTGCATTCCAGTAGATCTTTACCAGAGCCATGTACTGCATTATTTATGCAGTTTCATGTTTCCTTGTTTATTTTCAGTCTCCATATTCTACCTTTACACTTATGATGCAAAGTATTAAATGGCTGTTCATGCTTAGAATGTATTAGTATGTTTTTGACACAGTTTATGTTCAGTCATCAGATTTCCAATGCTCCCCCCCCCCGGAACCACATCACTGTAAGGAAAGAACCGTTTCCTTAGACTATGAGCATTGTGCCAATTCTCTCGTATCACAGCACATTACATTTTGCAATGCATATACATGTGGATATGTGCATTGTACATATTATCACGTGTGACTTGTAACACTATAGTGTTAAATCAATTTCCCCAGCTGCTAGTTATGCACATGTATTATGTACAACTCTTCAACACATGTATGTACATGTGCTAGCACGATCTAATGACATTTAGGCCATTGTACATACAGTGTATGTGTGCTTCCTGCGTCCATATGGTACAGTTTGCTGTCTTGCATACGTAATTAAAGTTCACATCTATACGTGCCAGGAAATAATTTTCAAAATGGCAGACACATTGTTAGACGGCTAGACATACATGATGTATACATGTACAATGTACATGTATACACGTACAATGGCAGCCTGCTTGATTATGGACAAGTCAATGTTTAAAGCCACGTAGTGTATTGTACAGTACTATACATATGTACATGTACACTTTGCTGATAGAGATACAGTAACAGTGCATGTAGTGATCTACATGTACATATGTACATGTGTGTAGGTTATTCATGTATCCATAGTGCACACGCTGTACATTGCATTCAACCTATTGTTTTAACTTCTCATAGCTGCTGTGATATTGGAATTGTTCTGAACATTTCTTCAATAGCACACTTGTACATATGTATTTGAACGCCATTTAATACTTTGTCCATTCAGGTGTCGATATTTCATGCAGTGCGCGAGTCATAATTTCATAGAGCTACAGTATGTACTACCAGTACATATGTACATTGTACATGTATACAGTGGAGAATTGATCATACATGTACAGGTACATGTTGTTTCCCTACCCTTATCTATTCTGTGGGGTTTTTACCATCCACTACATGCCTTAGTGTTGTAATAGCTTTTCACACACACACTTCTTAATCTGCAAGGTTCATTTGTTCAGCTGAAAAGCCTATGGCCTTGCTGATAAGGTTACCTTAATAGGCAATTAATAGGTGCCTGTTTTATGTTAGAGTTTAGCCAGTTACCAACCCTATTTTTCTCTTCTGAGATCAGTCTTCCTAGCAGCTCTATGAAGTTAGGCTCTTAATCATGTCCTCCAACTACACATGTACAGTACTTTCCTATCCCAGGTGTTGTGTGTTACGTTTCTTTTTCTCTCCTCGACTCTGGTTTTTGCCAAACTTGTTAAACATGCTAATGCTGTCTGGTTTCCTTGTGTTTCCCTACCCCAAATGTGTTAATAGATGAGGTGGTGGGGACCCTAGGAGAAGGAACGTTTGGAAAGGTGATCGACTGCAAAGATCTACATTCAGGGTAAGTTTGTTTATGGCAGGGATGAGATTCTTCCGCTTTTGGGACTTTCCGACTTTGAAAATCCGCTTTTGGACTGTCCAATATGGCGATAGTAGACTTACCAATTCCAAAATTTTAAACTTTTCCGACCCTTTTCATCAAGATGATTTTCAATTTCCAGGTATCAAATATGATAATATCGAGCCTCAATTTGTTGTGAAATTTTTATTTTGTCCTGATTATTGACCACGAAGTGCACTGTGTCGTGCCATGCATGCCCTATGTGACCCACTCTGTGAAAATGAGGCTTAAGGTGCCAGAGCCACTTTTTGAGTTTCATTTGTATTGGAAAGAGCAAATTGAGGTTTTTGTTTTGATGTATCACTCAGTTTGGCATCCGGATGAAAGTGGATACTCCACGGTGAAAAATGCTGTGAGGTCCTATTGTTTTTACACTGCGAAATTAGTCTGAAGGACTTTTTACTGCAAAGTGACTTTAGCGACTTAAGACTCAATTTCACAGAGTGGGTCACATATGTTTATGTGTAGTTAAAGCACACACAGTCAACGTGCTCACACAGTTCGAAACCAGGCTAGAATTGGGAGATAAGATCAACACATTCCATTGGTTCTTTTCACTGACAAAAATGAGTTCCGACCAGTGACCATCTCTGTAGGAAATGTATTCGGTTCCATGTAATTGTCGGTGTCACAATCGCTCTGATAGGCTTATTTTCATGACATATCCTCTTATAAGCCAATGACTGCACACTTCGCATGCTACTCACCACATGCTCGAGTGTGTAGACCACCATACGAAGCCACTGCGCCGGGTGCCCTGAATACTTTTTGTGTGTAATCACGGAAAACTGTACCATTGTGTGTGTTGTTGAACAGACGTTTTCTTATTGTTAAATTTCCATCATCATGTCTGCCTGTAAAGACATCATTCATTGAGAAGAAGGAAAGGTGAAGCACATCGACAGAGGGATTAAAAATTCCTGGCAGTGGGATTGGGTTGAGGCCAAAATAGGAGGAGTGTTCTTGTGCGAATTTATTCAGAAATACGGGCGATTCACAATAGTGCGCCTCCAAGTGTTTGCAATACGTTGGCTAATCAGGATGCGGGAAATCTGTCGACGCAATGCATGTTTGGAAAGGGTCGACAGATTTCACGTGTTGTGATTGGCCAACGCGTTGCAAACTCTTGGAGGCGCACTATTGTGAATCGCCCGTATTGGTGAAACCTAGTTAGGCGGTATGCCTGTGGTGCTATGTGCAAGTTAATTATGCTTCCTGGGGCAAAAATGCCTTCAAAGCCCAAGAAGAATCATCGAAACACAACAGCAAACTCAAGACACGAAAAACGACTTATCGTCTATCAGGTACATGTACATAAGCGACATGTATTTTGAAGCACAACAAACCACAAGTGTGACGAGTGATGAGCAAAACTTGTGGTGGGTCTTTATAACACATAGGCCTATCAAGTGAACAAATAAAAGGTTAGGTTTTTCAGGGTATACTTTCACGGACGTTTCTATTGTAAAATGTGTCTCAGAGGGCTTAGATTGCACCACAAAACATCTAAAGTTGCAAATTTTCCCGGTGCCCTTAAGCGGGCCCCAGACCCCATGCCATAAAAGGCTTCATGCTAGGTGCTCTCAAATTTAAGCTTTTTTCATTCTCCGAGAATCTCATCCCCGTTATGGTTTGTATTTGTCTCAGAACCCTGCGGTTCATTTCATCGGATCTGCCATCCACCTTTTGAGTGTCTCCTCTCAGTTAAAAAGTCTTTCATTTTCACTCTTGCCAATTTAAATAACAATCTTTTTCTCAATATTTTCCCCATCTTTCATGTAAATGATGTATGTAATGTAGTCCCTGTCCAAGCACATCTAGTTTCCTTTTGCCCAGTTTACTCCAATATACAGCATCAAAACATTAGTCTGTTATTACATGTACATGAACCCTCACAAAGTAGGCCAGTCTTGCAGTGAGAGAAAGACTGTGGCATTGCCATGGACAGATTGTTGGGATAGAGCTGGTGCATCAAACAGAAAAGTGCATGTTGGAGTTCTGGAAGCAATGCATTAAGTTTAGCACATGCAGTGCTGGGACAGCTGACGACTGACTACTGGCGTTCATCCTCCCCTTGTAATGCAGAAACACTACAAGTTATGGAATTTTGCTTCAAGCCGCACCTTACATTTTGTGGGCACATTATCAGTAGTTTTCTGCTTACCATGCAGGAGTAACCATGTGGCATTAAAGGTCATTAAGAACATTGACAAGTACAAGGAAGCTGCCAAGCTGGAGATCAACGTGCTGACCAAACTACTACACAGAGACCCCGACGGGAAGAGGTAAGACTGGCAAATTTCCCAGATGTCTCGTAATCCACGAGGTGGTTTTTGGAGGCTTTTTGAGGATGGCACAGCCTGTTGTAACTTAACGACCTTTTTGATGCCCTGGAAAGTTGGAATTGAAAAAAAAAATGCTTACATGTATATTTGATCCCTTGCTTTTTTTCTCTGTGTATTGCAGCTTGTGTGTACGTATGTTGGACTGGTTTGACTACCATGGCCACATGTGTCTGGCCTTTGAGGTGCTTGGTTTGAGCGTCTTTGATTTCTTGGTGAGTTTTCATCAAAAGTTCACGAGTCCAGCACACTGCCCTTATGCACCCTGAACCCATTAGTACCCAGAACTCATTAGAAACCACACCCAGGGTCCAGTTCATTTGACATTACTCGGTGTCCGTAATATCCATAACATGCCATGTGATACACATTCCTCTTGATGCGCATTTTACAAAAACTAAAATTTCCCTACATGAAAGTAATTGGAAAACGTTTTATCCCCCCCCCCGTGCGATGTTTTACGATGCGCGATCCACAGTGCAAAACATTCAGACATGCCTGATATGCATCAGCCTCAGATATAGCATTCACTTGTTACAGGATAATAACATTCCTGAATTTTTTTCTTTTCAACAGAAAGACAACAATTACCTCCCTTATCCCATGGATCATGTCAGGCACATATCCTATCAGCTATGTTATGCTGTCAAGTGTAAGTCTATTGCTTTGAATGATTGAGTTGTGGTACTCACAGAAGATGTGGGGAGTGATTCCACTTTCTTCTGTTGTGAATGGAAATCAGCGATCTTAACCTTAACAATGCTGGACACATTAACCTGCAACGAATGTAAAAGTTTGGTACACCTGGCTAGACTGAGCAATCGACAGCACTCGCATAAATACACATGTTCAGATTGTGGGAGCTGATCTCTTTGAGCAATGCCAGTGTTGAATCCTGTGGTAGCTTGCGACCACAGACTCCCAGGCAGTTAAGCCTGGATCTTGGTAACACTCCCAAACTTTTACAGATGTTATTAATTGATGCATCTGGATGGTTGTATAGAGTTTTGTACTGTCTTTCTAATCTATAGTGCTGCATACAATGTTGTAATATCTGCATTTTGGGTGTTCTGTTCTCACCTCAGTTATGCATGATATGAAGCTTACCCACACTGACCTCAAGCCAGAGAATATCCTGTTTGTGAGCTCAGAGTATGAAATTCGGTACAACCCTTCCAAGGTGAGAAAATACGAAGGTGTTGCTCAGTGGAAGTCTCCCTTCCCTTTAAATGTCGGGCCCAAGCCGCAAAAAAATATTACCTTTGAACATCATGGTTAATAGAAAAATAGTAATTTTTATTTAGCACTGGTTTACCGTGAGATAAAGGATTACAGCATCGCCAAATTTATTTTCAGTCACGGGTTTATCAAAAACAGGTCATCTGCTCATTATTCTAAGACACTCAGAAATTTGGATTACCCTTATTGACAGATCTTTATGCTAAAATGTCAGATTTTGCAAATTAGGACAGTATGGAACTAGAAAAATGATTTCCAAAACAATAATTTGTGATTTGTTGTTTGGTTACTTGTGTACAAGATGGTAATCCTTTCAATAGTTCTTTTACAAAGAGTTGACTGGTTGAGGTTCAGGTTTGGTTATATTTTCCAATTTGTAATTTTAATTTTGTCAACTAGAAACGTGACGAGAAGACAGTAAGGTGCTCAGACATACGCCTCATAGACTTTGGCTCGGCAACGTTCGATCATGAACACCACAGCACCATTGTCTCCACAAGACACTACAGGGCATTAGAAGTTTTACTAGGTAAGGGGATGCTGACTACATTCTATGGAAAGGTCATTTAATAACAGCAGTGCATGCACACAAGGTCTGCCCTCTCGGTGTGGCCATACGCCAACTTACATGCATGCTTAATGCTCAAATGACCTTGCCTTTACAAAGTAGTAAAGTGGCTCATCCAGTATGCCTTCTGTTGTGTAAAATTGAAGTTCAACCTTGTGATTATTTTTTTTTTGGCAGCCCTTGGACCACACTGAAAATGCTGTGAAAATATATCTTGGTGAGGTGGCAAAAGCTAGTCTAAAAAAGTAGTAACCTGTTGGTGTTTCTTTCCCTTTGGTTTATATCTGCAGAGCTGGGTTGGGATCAGGCCTGTGATGTTTGGAGCATAGGAGCCATTATGTTCGAGTTATACACCGGCTTCACATTATTCCAAGTAAGTGTTTGTATATATAGAGACATTTACTCTAATACTTCATTTTGAAGTGCGGTTTTAAGTCTCTAATTGAAGGTTTCGTAAAAGAAGTAAACTTTGGTGTTTTAACATGCAGGAAAAACATGAATCAGTGTTACAGACTGAATTGAAGCACAACAGTAGATGTGAAATCCATGAAGTTTTCAATCAGGAATGTCTGGTATACCAATGGAAACATGTTTTGTCAACGTTACAAGTGGTCCTCTTTAAAGCACCATTGCTCAAGTAAAGTTTGACCTTCCCCCTTGCTTAACAATAGACTCACGATAACAGGGAGCATCTAGCCATGATGGAGGTGATTCTTGGCCCTATGCCCTCTTCAATGATCAGGAAAACAAGGTACGCCAATGTCCAACTGTTGTAGGTAACCAGAACCCCATAACAGGAGTTTGAAGTCTGCTTATTTGTTTTTATTTTTATCCTATTGTAACTAAATATTCCGACGTCATCATTTGATCATCTCAAGCATCTTAATAGATACCAACATGATGGGAGTGAAATGGCAACAACTTCCATGGTACTTGATTTAAGATGTACATGTACAACCTAAAAAGAGCTCTGGCAAGTCACAACTTATTTTACTCGGCTGAATCCAGATATGTAAATTAAGATTTGTAATTTTGCTTCAAAATGTTAAGCATTAAAATTAATAGTTCTTTTCAGGTTTAGAAAACCTTTCCTCTGTTTCCTCTCAGAATTGTACATTAATACTTTTCTAAAGTAGTTCAAGATGAAATAGGTGCAACTTTTGGGCATAACCTTATCAACTGGAGGAATGTACTGTTGCTGCTGTAGTTGTAGGGTTTAGTCTTCGAAAATTTCCAGTCACAGTTGTTACTCTGCTAATACTGTACGTGTTTATTCACTTGCAGCAAATCTTCTCATTAGTTTGTTAGTGCCTTCCAGCATTCCTTGATCAGGAGCCGTAAAGAAGAAAGTTGGGACTTTACTGATTTTGTGCTGTTCCCAATTCACAGGAAGCAGAAGTACTTCTACCACAGTGGTGTAGACTGGGACCGGAACAGCTCCTCAGGCCGTTACGTGCGCGAGAACTGCAAACCGCTGCGCCACTACATGCGCTCCTCACGCAGCACAGAGGAGCTGCACCTGCTCTTTGACCTCATTGAGCTGATGTTGGAGTACGACCCGGCCAAGCGCATCACCCTCCAAGAGGTGCTGGACCACCCGTATTTTGACGACCTGGCAGGCCACCATCGGCTACATTCGCCCCTCCGGAAATCGCACAGCCTGAGCAGGTGACAGTGCGCCGTTTCACACCTGTCCAGAGTCCCCTATATGTGAACGCATGCTGTTTCAGGGGTGTTGGTCAGAACTTGAAAAAGTTGTCTGAATTGGTATTGAAACAGGTTATCAATGTCGCTGAGGCCATGATACACAGTTGAGGGGTGTCCCAAGATGCCAACGGCCCCTTCTGACTAAAACCTGGTGTCATTTACATTGGGCTTTAATGCTGTAAGAAAATTTTATATGTTTGATGACGCTGTCGAGTTTGTGGCAAGTCAGGTGTGTATCCAGTCGAACTGTATGCAATAAATGCCACCCTCTCAACCCTAAGGGCTCCAGTGTGTTCAAGTACACATATACATTTTTGTCATTATGCAATTGTGCTCATCTCATTAATAAGTTTAAATATCAGACAGCACTTTAGCATTAAAGACCAGCAAGCCTGCTTGCCACTGGAGCAGCTCAAGTCACGGAAAACCCACTCACACTAGTTATTGAAATTAGCTTTGATTTTTTTTGGTTATTTATAGCCTTTAAGTTAGACCCCTGTGCATTTTTAGTTACACACATAAGAACCCTTAATCTCAATGAATTATGTGTGCCTGAATTGATGTAACACAGAGTGCCATGTGACTGTAATTTCAGTTTGGTGTTTGGGATTACAGATATCCTTCTTGTGGTTTTTATTGTCACATTGCCAGTAATTCCTCCTATTCCTTTTGTTGGTGGCAGGTGATGACCCATTTAATTGAAAGGGAAAAAACCACAAATAAGGTTCTTCAAATGACATAAACCCTGTAGCAATGCCAAAGAGCGTCAGTACACAATACACTTGGATTGCATCACCAGTGTTAATGGTCACAAGGAATTTTTTTTCCTTCTCATATAGTTTGTAGGTAGACTTTGTACATATCCACAGCATGGTAAAATCATAGTAAACCATTTTGCCAATCTACAGAAAGATGCCATCTATTTCCAATTGCACCATGATGTAAGAACAGTGCCAACATTTGTATCGAACCCTGACGCTGCCGCAGAGCACATACATCCTTGCACAGTCCCTCAATGACTCAATACCCTGAACCATAAGTTTTGTAATTGAATGCCAAAAATGCCAGTTAGATTTCAAAACTTTAAAATTGACCATTATCAAAATGCTCAGAGGCAATTTACAATCAGAGCATGTGAATTTCAAATGTGATCACACTAATTGGTGAAACCTACATGTATGTGCAGTTGTGGTCAGTAATTGAAGCCGACAGTCTTCGCTGGCAATACTGTACAGCCTGTTAAAATGATGTTGCCAAGAATGTATTCTTCCAATGTTGCTGCATGTAATTGACTTTCCATATTTACAGACATTTCAGCACTGCAGTAAAAGTGAGGTGGTTATATACATGTAGCTCATCATACAGGGTCTGAAGATGAATATTTATTATGAATATCCTGGAGTCTGGCAGTTGCACCAAATTATTTGCAATTTGACAAGATTTTAGTTGAGAATTTTGGTTTGATTCGTTTGGAACATTGTGATGGTAGTTGTGTAATGCTATGTACGCGTACACATCAGTGAACCGCTGGGTAACACGGTTAGTCCCTCAAAATGCTATTTTCAATTGTACTTGGCTCATAAGTCAGTGCACTGCCCCCCCCCCTGAAAAAAGTAACTAAGCTAGTTGTGTTCATCGTTCTGCCGTATTGAAACTCATTTATTTAAATTTGTGTATGTACTTGTATGCATTTCATTCACTGTTGAATAAACATGGCTGTGTACAGAGTCAAATCTTTGAAACAAATTGACACTGACAATAAAGAATTTGAATTTTTCATCGGCATTGCTGTCTGATTATTTCATGTTTCTCAATTTGTAGCTGAAAAGACGACCTTTAAGACAAGACAAGAAGTACCTTTAAAAATTGTTTTTGTTTGGCTTCTAACAAAGGATGTACATATACTGCTGGTTGGCAATTAGAAATGAATAAGAAGCTTTTAAAAGAAACATCTGAATTGTAAACACATACATATACAAAACCATTTAAAAAAATTCTGGGGCAGTATTACTGAATATCAAATATTGTATTTTACTTTAAAGAAATGCACAAAGTGGACTGGCCCTCAAAAGGGGGAGACACGTATAACAGTTACATTGGTCTTGGAAGTATTAAAGTTGTGACTAAGAAATTTAATTTGCCACCATACACTGCTGTGTAACCTTTAATTACTGCGAAAGTGTTTCTTTCCCAGACAGAAGTTGCAGTGTTTTGGAGAGAGCTTGACTTGGAAATGTGACTGTTCTTGACCAATGAAATCACAGCATCCCAAGACGTACTATAACAAAACTGTTTCCTCCTCCATTTCTATTCGCAACTCCCTAAAGGTCATCTCATGTCAACCGTCTTCAAGTGCATTCTGCCAGGAGTGATGAACAGTTTTACTCTACTCTTCTGCATGATGAACGTACTGAGCACATGCTAACGGCGCATTTTCTACAAATTGGTCTTAGCCATTCAGATGTCGATGATCACATAGATGTCGTGTGTGTCTTTATCTTTGTGGACTTGCATGTTGGAGTAGGTGATTGCTTTGACTTCGGTCCCCTACAAAGAATTAAAAGGCTTTGAATTAAAAGGAGAACACACGATCTGGAGCATTTGGCTTTCAGTTCACGAGCTCTATCATAAGTCTACAATCAAATCAAGTGGCCATCGTTTTGGTGGCCACAACTTTCAAGGCTACCTCGTCAGTGGCTATCTGTCCTTAGAAATTTGGTATTCACTGGCCACTCGTGTTAACCCTTCCAACAACAGTCTGTTGGAATATTCCCTGCCCTTTTCTGTTGACAGTTGTGGACAATAATTATAAAGAGACATACCTGTGGGTGCTTTGTCAGGTCAAATGTTTCCCCATGTCTGCAGTAAAATGAAAAAACAACGAAACCATATATAATGCAAAATTCACAAAAAGTGGTCGAGGTAAAATTGAAGCTGTTAAAACACATATATGGTAAATTTGTGAGACTACCAGTTCAACATATTGGTACTGCACATGTGAAGTGGGTATGAAAAAAATCTGGTGCCAAGACTGTTTCTATGCTTCTCCCCACAACATTGGAATGATTTTTAAAGTGGAGGGGGTCCATTTATGACCACCATACATATATCAGAATGGGGGTGGGGCATTACCCCCAAGTCAAGAAGTGGGGGAAGGGGAAGTGGCCCCCTCCCTCCCGCTGCCAGTGTTTCCATCCACTGTCATGCCACCACTAGTCTACTGAGTGAGTCATCTTTTCAAAAATTGGACTAGTGTGATCCCAAGCTTCAAACTGATGGCATTTTACTTGACTCTGTAGTACAGAAATTTGAAAGAAACTTGACAGTTTCAAATATAAAATTGAACCCAAGTTTGGCTGTTCAGAGGCCAAGGACTTTATCATGGCCTTGAGGAGATATGGAGGATCTCTGTTGGCTACAAAAGTAAGTTAAATTTACCAGATCTTTGTTTAGTACACTTCAATTATTCAAATGGGCATTTGAATGAAGCATAGCTTACATGTACATGTGCATTGTTGCTATAATGCACATACATGTATAGTTACACAGCACAGTTCATGTAGACACATCTCAGCATATTCAATACTGGCCTGGTACAAACTAAGCCAAACTGCTCACATGCCATCCATGAGAAAATAACACAAAAGAGCAACATGTTCAAGGCTGTCCTGGATTTCAGTTTTTTTCTTATAAATACAAATTACCAAGGCTTGGCAAACAGAACACTGTCCAAACACATTCACAGTACTGAACAGACAGAGAAAAAGAAAAAAGTTTTCTTTTTTTTCTAACTATGGGTGCCATTTTTTTTAAACCATGGCATATTTTTCCGAAGAACCATAATGAATGAAGTTTTGGGATACTTTGCATCTTAAGTGAGGTTTCACTATATCTTTTAGGTTTTAAACTTGCATCTTGATCTACAGATGTTGTTATAAACAAATAAAAGTACATACATGTACATGGCAATGTTTCAAAAGAAAAACTAAAAACAAACAAAAATGACGGCATGGGGAAGTGGGCAGGGGCCAGAAACTAGTTTATTTTATTACTTGGCCAAATAGCCCATTGAGATTCCACACATAACAGCCTCTCCCCTTTGTACTGAAAGTATTCATGCTAGTGTCAATGTTTGAAATGGGAAAAGTGTTTTCCTTGTGACTACACACCTTCAAACACAAATAACTTTACTCATGAAAAATAAATACAACGCCCCTGTTGACTGCTTCAAGCAACAGTGTGACACTCCTTGCCAATTTCAGTTGTATCAATGAATAAACAGTATGGTAAAAAAAATTGGTCTAGGAAAAATGGTAAAATAATTCACAAATGGTTTAAATTTTTTTGGTGTTTTTGGCATGTTTGGAAGAAATGTTTCTCACCACTTGTTTATTAAAAAGTTGAATTTTTTTTACATTCTCACATTTTGTTGGTTTAAAATATTATTGATATATAGGAACTTACCCAATTGCCTTTATCTTGAAGTTGACTAGGTCAAATTCCTCAATTGTTACTTCCTGTGAAAAACAGTTTTCAATGATCACTTTTTCAATTCCATTAAAATGCCCTTATTCCATTTCAAACTTGACAATGGACCAAATACAGGAGAGAAACACAGGTAGAATGGTAGGGAAGATGCAGGCTCCAAAGCCTTCTTGTGCGCAACTGCGCATGGTACTTTTTGAGGACCATAGTACTTGTTTCCCTAAGCAGGGCAATTTGTCACAATCATTTTGCTCCACTGAGTAAGCACTTAACAAAACCTAAGTACATGAATGTATCAAGAATTGGTGACCAGCTTGATACAAATGTAGGTGAATGTTGGAGGCTTGGGGCATCCAAGACAGAAGCACAGAATGCTAGAAGAAACAAGTACATTGTAGATCAAATTAATTTAAACAACTGTTTATAGGATGTAACAGTTTGCACGCCAGTCAAGAAGTCTAGCCAATGTTCGCTGACCCCTTGAATCTCCACCTTCTTTATTAAATCTATCCTTAGGCTTGCATTTAACTTACCCTGGGAATAAAGAATGGATCTGCTGAAAAGACAAACAAGAATTCATCTAGATAGTGAAACAGCAACGAAAGAAGGTCATCTCCTGGAAGTATAAAAAATCACCACAATTTCAAAGTTTTGTACCGATTCTCATTTTTATGTTTTTATAATAAATTTTGATCTTGCAAAAAAGTTTGTGTGCTACAAGGGTACCTTTTAAAAAACTCCGAAATTCTGCAATAATATACATACAACTTAGAAACTGATTGCATCCAAATTTCTAGATGTGACCTAACGTAAATGTATTTAATTAAAAAGTGCCTTACAACTTCTTTCTGGGAGGTTTCTTATATTCTCAGAAATATTTCCCCAAATCAAGCACCTGGAACTTGTGGCTTCCAACCTTTTATGGGTAATTTGCATTGTACAAAAAGATAAATGAGTCATTTCATTTTTGAGGTGAATCATCGGGCTACATTTCGATTTCAGATACACTGGCATGTAATTACAAGAATAATATGCCAGTAATTCCCTACCCCTCAACTTTCAAAGTATGGCAATATTTGTCTCCTTGCAGTAATTAAAAAAATTGTTCCATTCCTTTTGTTTAGGTGATCCTGTCCCAGGGGTGGGGACTTTTGCCACTCTGAAAACAATTGGCAGGTGTATTTTAGTGGCTTTAATACCTTCAGCTTCAACCGTGACCTTCTGGAGTTTTTCCACCTTGCTAATTTCAGTCATGTAAGCAAACATGGCGATTGCCACCTGCTCAAATGATTCCTTCAAAGTGTCTCCCCCTGTGTTAGTCAGAAGTCAAGGTCTAACAGGCAAATACATGTATTACTGACAATGTCCACACCAATCACGTTTGGAGACACTGGCAACATGATTTGTATTTGGCAAGTCAGTGTACCCCTCGGTACAATTGCTGCCTAACTGAGTGTATGATTACAGTTTAATAGTTTGATTACTCTCAAAAGATATCAAATTGTCTTGTGAGGCTTAGCAGGATCTGATCACTTGATCAGAACTTGGGTTTTCAAAACTTCATCCCAAACTATCTTTGATACATGTACACTGCTTATTTAATCCTCCTAGATCTTTAAAAATAAACTAAGAGGTTTCAGAAGATTCCAGGATTATGATGGCAGTGTCCCAGCATAATGTTATTTTAGATCTTCCAATTTTACTGCAATTTATCAAAGATCCAAGAGCTGGCCCATTCCAAAAATCAGCAGTCACTGTAGTACAACCCTACTGTAATATCAATGTACCGGTATTTCAAAAGGATACATGAATGTAATCTATAGAAATAAGACAAAATAAAGAGTAAAAAATTCAAAATTGAAATTTAAGAAAAAAGACATAAAAATATCAAAAGTTTCCCCAAGCAAACAGCAAAGTATATAAAAACACATACAAATTTAAAATTAAAGTTCACAGCATGTCTCTTCCTTTACTTTATGTATTGCGAAACAGTCAAATGATTTGGAAACATCTAACAAGTAACTACATATACATGTAAGCAGTTCCTTCAAACAACAAACCCAGATAAACACACTTTACAGGATTTCAATGCTTAGGATTTCACATAGTGAAAGTTTTATACAAATGAGTCAGCTTAGTTTCAGTCATAAAGTAGAACGATGGAATTGTTGGTAGTACTTACTGTACATCTGCAGTGTGGTCCAGAACTGAAACAGAAATGAAAGAAGAAAAATGGTTAAAATATGCACTATGATGTCTGCTAGGCAGCTGATATTAATGCAATCATGTAACAGTAGCACTGTTGTGGAAAGCAATATGTTGGCTACCATAACAACAGCATCAAAAATATAAATGGAAGGAAAAGACTTTTCCTCCCTCCATGATGATGATCATGATGGAATGGACCCTGCATGGAACAGCAGCTTATTTTGCCCACGCCTTGATCTCATCCTTCATCATAGAATTTTCAACGCCACCCACATTCGAACTTGGATCCCTCGGGGATGTCCAGCCAATTCAAGGCGGCGTCGCCCCCATCGAAGTCCTCATCACCGGCATCTCCCACATACATGTACTCGGCCCCGTCTGCCGCCCGCTCTTCCGTGGTCACGCTCGCACAGCTGGGTGCTTGGTCAGCGTCTCCCTTGGGACCAATGCCCGCTTTTTCTGTATTATCTGCCATTTAAAGTTCGCCCACCTTCTTCAAATGTGCATGTGCCTTGGTTTCTATGGTCGGCACTCAACATGTAGCAGCTCTAAGGAAAACAATTTCTTTGAAAGTGCATTTTTTTTAAGCGATACACATTGCACAAGTTCCGGAAATAATGCCGTGTGAACTGCTGTGTAGAGTGTTCTAGTCTGCTCCCCAACAATACTTAAGTTTAGCCATAAATTCATGGCATGAAGCGGGCTGGGATTCGCGCTGCTGTTCAGCAGACGGCTATTTTATGTGCTCAAATGAACTGGGTGCAAAACAAACGGCTGTTTTACGTACGCACTAATTGACAAAGTGTTGACTCCACCTCAGCGGCACCCCCGAAAAGATCATAACAAATGACAAACGAAAGAACAAAAGTCACAGGATAAAATCCACGTCTCAAGGAGATATGCTTTCACCCAAATGTTTTATTTTTCAAAACGCCATGGTCTGACTGTCATCATCCCCGTGTGAATTAGGGTGAGATCAGGTTTGGGCACTGTATTTTGTTCCTTGTTGACTACATTTAGATCCGACAGTAAGGTTAACATGGCAGAGATTCCTCTGGAAATCCTTGAGATGTTTGGCAGACTGCTTCACAAAGGGCATTAGGTGTTCATAAAGGCATGGTATGAAAACTATAAACTTCTGAATACTGTGCACTGAATGATCAAACTTTCGAAATGGCGGACGTAAGCCAGTCCACACTTGTTTCAAAGACAAAAATCACTTTGCTTTATTTTATGGTTCCTAAGTCATCTTAACAATTTGATTTGGAATCTCAAACTTGCCTAGTGAAACACTGAAGATCTGATCTTTGCATTTCGAAATAATGGAGAATTTTGTTGTCTACATAGCAAACTAACTTTGGTCTTATTTTGTTTTGTCCGTTTTTTTAGGGTCTCAGCAAGGTGCGCAGGAGCACTGCAGGAGCTGAAAAAAATCAAAATTGGAAACAGCAGCTGTCTCATGAGTCCTTAATGATAACAGTTCCTACAGCCGCCTCGTCTGCTTCTGACGCATCCATTATTTGAACGTTTCTCATCATCCCTGAAGGCTCCAGAATAAATACCGCCCCCTGCTGAAGATCGATCGTTTCCGTGACAATGCTCTCGTCCACTTCTGCACCCTCTCCACCGTCTTTGTAAGCTTCAGCCACTTCCACATCTCTAGTGATGGCCACTTTGATGTGGGAGTCCAACAAGCAATCATTCGCAGCTGACTGATGAACCTCTTCTTCGAGTCGTTGCCTTTTTGCAGGATGTAGATCCTGATTGACAGGAATGCCTCCTTTCACAAAGCAAACTGGCATATCCTGCGATGTCTGATCTTGACAGACAGAGGTGTGCAGCTCTCCCCTGGGTAGGGCTTGCCTCAGGGTGGCGAGGGCTGCGTCCATTTGTACCCGTGCACGGGCAAGTGTCTCTGTGTGGGTCACAGTGTGGGTCAGATCTACAAGTTCTCTTGCAATGGCTTGGCAGGCAACTGCCTCATCCTGAAAAGGATCACTGTCTCTTGGGGTAGAGTTCATGGAAGAGTCGGCTGACTCTTTCAACGTTTGATGGGCTTCCACTGCAGCAAGGATAGCTGTAGAGACAACAAAAAACAAGTTAGTTGTAAACCTGTCAGCATCTTTTAATTTGAATGTTCTGAATTCTTCAAAAATCTCCCCTTCTCAAGAAACCGATATTACATTATTTGTGCTACAACACTGGCCTTGCCTCAGCACAGTAGAATACTCAACAGATCCCCTTTGAAGGTAGATTTCAATATGCTCCTAGATATTTTGTAATTCAGGGATGTTTAAGGGGTACGAGGTTTACCTTCCAAATTAGAAGTTGCCTTCTCCTCAGAGGAAATCCCAGAGACAGCCACAGTGGAATCGTCAGTATCCCTGACATCAACTACAGGGGGCCGCTCTTCAGTTGAATGGGATATAGCAGCAGCCCCTCCTGGGGCTCCACCCATAACCCCACCCACAGCCATACTCCCAGCCCCACCCAACTCTTGACCATCGTCCACAGTCAGAAAGGGGCTGAAGAGGTAGGAAGATGGCAGTTGCTCCCAATGTAGCTTGTTACCATCGGTGATGCACGCCAACAGGTGCATGCACGGAAACTCTGTCTCAAGGAAATCCTTGCAGGTGCATGACGGGACGCTCAGGTCAACAAAATTATCCCCGCGATTCTGATCGCCCCTGGGAACGCGAAAGATGTTCTGTGTGTCTTGGGTGATGGACGTTTTCTCAATCCTTCTAGCCAGGGTGAGGTGCTGTCGGCAGTGGTCAATGAAATGTTGGGGCCGTTTGTGGAGAAAAGGCGAGAGACTAGAGTCGGCAGTTGTTATCCATGCTTCATTAGTCTGCAAATACCTGTAAAACAGAGCAGAGATAGCTGAATGTACACACTCATGCAGACAGTATGAAAGTTGCCAGCAGCAAATTTAAGATCAAGCCAGGCTATGTAGTGGAAAGTGACCAATACCTAGTTCATTGTTTTCTTCATACATATGGAAAGCTAACAGAAAAAAGCATACTAAGCAGCACCGATCTTCATTAGTGACACTCACACCACAACACAACTTACACATCAACATTTCCCTAAGAGTGCACTACAAATAGAATACAATTACAAGATGCCTATCTGCACTGCAACTTAAACTTTGACACATAAGACATCACATTTCTACTGGGTTGAAGTAGCGGACAAAATTTAAAACCTAACCTGTTTTGAGAGTTCAAAATTCAATGTGTCATTTTATGAGAAATGTTCTCTTACCTCATTTCCAAGTCGGGGAGAACTTTGCTGACTAGCAGATCTAGCATGGCATGCAGGGCAATGTTACGTTTACTGGCGATGAAAGGGTACTCCAAGGCCTGGCTTTGAGACTCCAGACCCTTGTTGACAACTAAAGGAAGCAGCTGGTGATGCTGCCGGTAGATGTAGGCCCATCTCTGCAAGGAAGAGAAACAAACAGCAAAGATGTTACTAGTGAACAACGATACAGGTTTTAGCTGTGCTTTATAGCTGGGTCAGTCCATGAGGTTGGAGCACAATTTGTGACGGTGTCCTTGTTACATGGGTAACTTTTACCACCTGTCATGACCTGTAGAGTAAGTCATTTACTCTGTAAAATAACACATATTTGTGTATTCAGCCTTACAAGATGTATATCAATGTCAATTTGGAATCCACATGCAGGGAAATAACTGTTCATTTTTACGGAACCCATGTAACAGTTCACACCATCACAAATTGTGCCCCAACCTCATGGGATGACCCAGCTATAACCATATGTCTATGGGAAGTGGCTACAGCTAAGAGCCAGTGGCTACAGCTGCAAGCCAATGACTTTCACGGGAGCACATATTACACTTATTTCCAGCCACAGCCAAACATTATGTACATGGCTCATAGACTTTTGTGGAATCCAATGATTTGCTAGGCATTATGTACAGGAATAGGAGTTAGTGCAGTGCGATCAATCAGAGGAGCTTCAGTGTGTGTGGGACACACTGTGTGCACACACTGGTTGTGCATGTACATTGTATATTGTGTTCACTAAGTACACGTATGTCTGGTGTAATTTTCATCTGAATGGGTACAATTTGGAAGGTCTCAGGGTGGGCACCGAGTGCAAGGGGGCCATGTAATTCAAATGTCTGTCATTCTCTCTCCCTTCTCACAATATGAGGGGTGCAGATGTACAGGGTATATACACATACATGTATGTGCACCTTAAGAGAAACTAAAAACTTTGAACCTTGACTCACTTCATCTGAGTCAAGAGCACTGAAGGGGCTTAAACTTTGACTCAACTGAATGTGACCCAAGGGCACCACAAGACTTTAAACCGCGACCTGTAAGTATCCGAGACAAAAGTAATGGAGCAATTTACACCTTGACCCATCTATGGCCTCCTGACATGTAATTCAGGATCTTTTGATGGGATAACCTAAAACATGATATCCCAAAAAAGCACTGTAAATTTTTAAATCTGGATCCATTTGAATCCGAGTCTGCCAACTCGGGACATCTGAAAATGGCAAACAAAATAAATTCCAAGTCCAACGTCCAAAACAAAATCACCTCAACATTGGCCATCCACTTCTCTCGAAACCAGGCCCTCGTCTGTTTCAGAGCAGGCTTCATCCATGTCCTGCGCAGGCCTTCCAGCGCAGCCTGGTAGGCCTCCTGGGTGCGTGCTGTGGCAATGCTGGCCATCTTGGCCAGCACATCTTGCTGAACGTTGGCCGTCCTGTGCTTGGAGTTGAGGAGGAAGCGCTCCCAGGCCTGCTGGCGTCTGGTATCAGTGATGAAAACTTGACAATCTGAAATGAAATCAAGTTTTGTCTAAAGTTCAGAAAGGCTCTAGTTGCCCTAAAAGTGGGAGCACCATTTCGCCGTGTTTATATTGGTAGACTCAAAAAATCTCCGGAAAAATATGCACCTGCCAGTCTGATGAACGGAAATGTTAGTTTAATATATCATATCGTTTGCGATACTGAATTGTGCTATACATGTACATTCATGTACTGTTTTGTTATATGTATACCCACTAAATCAAATTTTAAATAACCGTTTAATTGCAACTTATACATGATGCTGATGTGAACAGTGTGTGTGCAGGTCGAACAAGCCCTGTAACGGAGCACTGGGTGTACATATACATCTTCTCAGTTTGTTTGGCAGACTAGGAAACCTCACCACAAGCAAAGGTTAAAATTGCAATGATTCCTTTTGTATATCTTGCAGTGTAGTTGCAACTGTCATGTCATTGATTTTTTTGGCTTACCAGTAACTGCTGTGATGTATAAAGATTGCATAATAAATAAACATAAAAAACAAGTTAACTGTTTTGATGCCATTCTTGGGTGTCACAAAGGACAAAATCCTCATGTTCATACTAAATGGCCCTTATTGAAAAACTGCACTTAAAAGGCTCTTATTGAAAAAATATTGTTTCAAACATATAAGTTTTGGACAAGAAAACTGGTTGAAATTTAAATATATTGGCCCCCAAAAAACTAGTTTTACAAAAAGTAAAAAAATGTAGCCTCTTTCAATAGAAAAATTCTTTCATGCTCAGAGTGGGGCCCTAAGAGTATTTTCAAAAATGACATTTTTGCTGTAGTGACCTTTTAGCCGGGTACTGTATATGTCACATCAACGTAGTTAGTAGTTGTTACATTTTATATATTTCATACCTTGGAATATCCCCTTGATGGCTTGGATCTCAATCTCGGAGGGCTCCACCATAAACTGCTGGGGGCACCAGCAGGGATTGGCTTCCCTGATCAACCCCAGGGCCTCATGCAGACCTCCAACAGTCTCCTTGGCCATGGCGATCAAGGCCACAATCTGGTACCCACAGTTGGTGTGCACCAGGACAAAGTACAGTGGAATGGCATAGCCCGCCTGCCTGTGGGCAGAGTCCAAGAAGGTCAGGTAACAGCCGTAGCGGGCCAGCAGCCGTCGCTGGTGCCAAGTCTGGTAGACCAGGAGCAGGCCTTCTCCAGGTGAAACCAGGAGGGGCTCTTCACCTGCATTCCCATCCTTGGTGGAACTAACTCTTGTTGCATCCTTGTCCATCTCGCCTGCTTCAGACGCACTTCGGCGCTCAGGTCCAAATGCTTTATCCAAACTGTCCTGTTTGTCAACCCTGCTGGTATCCAGAGCATTTCTGAAAAACACAAATCCATCTCTGTCCATCTGCTCCCTGAGCCAGCCCCCAGCCAACTGCTCCAGCTCACTCCGCCTCAGCTTGGATGAGCAAGAGTTCACTGAGACCTTGAAGATGCGCTGCTCCCTCAGCCAGCCCCCTACCAACTCCTCCAGCTCCCGCCTCCTTAGCTTGGATGAGTGGGACCTCACCGAGACCTTAAAGATACGGTTGGCGATATCCTTCTGGGTTGGAAAGAACCGGCGGTTGGTGTCCGGCGGGCAAGACGAGCCTTTGAAGAGCTCATCCCTGACAAAGTCTTGAATGCATCTCTCAATCACGGGGACTGATCTCATCCCATTGCTGATTAGCTGGAGCATTTTGTCGTTGACTCGTTTGTCGATTGGTTGTTTGATACCAGCAGCCTGTTCACAAAAGCAAACCATCACCGCTTAAAGAGGCAACAAATTCTTTAAAATACAAGACAGCTTACATGTACTGACAACCCCTAAGTCACTAGCAACTTCAATTAATAAATGACTTCTTTATCTGTGTACTTGTATATCATTTTTTAGATTCTCTCTAAGGATTATAACTAAAATTGTTAAAAAAAAATCTGTTTCTCAGCTCTCTCCACATAAATGACATTTTAGAAGGAATTTCAAGGTTGATTAACCACTGGAAAATATGTGGGAACGGACGTACAGCAGATTCCAAAAAATAATCACATGACTCTTTTCACAAATTCCTTTCAAAAACGGCTTCTTTTCTAGGAATATGGAAATGCAACATTCCAAAACATCAAGTTCAATCTTCCACAGTTTGAGAACCTTCATCAACAAATGTAAAGACTTACTTCTCCTATGGGATGGTTCTTGTGACTGCTGACATCTGGAAAGTCGATGTAGTAGCGAGACTCGGTGGTGATGCTGCCCTGTTCCTTCCAAGTGGCTTTGATGCGTTTGGACAACTCGCGTCGTCTGTGTTCCGTTAAAGTGTTCTTGTCAAACTTAGATTCAAGGACAGATTCAGTTTTTTACTCCAAGGCCAGTTCAGACTTGGCACACAATGTGAATCACACAAGAAAATTGCAGTAACACTGTAATTTTCTTGCTGCCAATTGACAAAAATTCAACATAGATTGGCAAGTTTGAGCTGCAAAAGCTTCCCCAGAGAGTAAATGGATCTCACTCCAGAGGAGGCCATGTTATACCTTGTTCTCTTAATCTGTTTTATAAATTGTCAACTGTTGAATGGATTGGCATCAGACTATTTTAAAATTGATGTGGGTTCCAAGCCTCCTTTGAAAAATTTCCAACTTTGGCATAAAACACTGAAGTATATTTTATCACAAAAATGACATTATTCATTAGAGTAAACGGGTACCAATTTGACAGGAAATTTCATTGTATGCTTTCAGTGATACTTTTAAATTTCAAAAGTGAAGATTTGAGCTCATTATTACTTTCAATATGGTTGATTAATGGAGGTAACTAGATATGCTTACAGGAAAGACAACAGGACAAGAGTTTTTCTAAACACACTTCATGATCATGAAATGTACACTGTACGTACAGAAAAGCATAAAGGAAATAAGGTACATGTGTGTAAGTGTGGGATGTTTACACGTTAAAACGTTCAAGCAAAAACTGTTCCAAATCCGTTTACAGATTTACCCAAACGTTTAAATGAAACCACCCCTTTTACAGATTTGATGTTTTGATTGATGCAATCTGGCATTCATTTTTATTGTAAACGATGCCTGTTACATACTGTTTTTTCCCTTTCAGCATCCATGCTGCTTTTGAGAAAAAAGTGGATTCTAAAACAACAAGCATTGCTTGTTTTAAATGCCCCACCATCAATCTACATGTACATTTTTACATAGGTTGGACCATGTGCATTGTTGAACTACATATTTACATGTATGCTTATATGAAAACAGCAAGGTACATGTAGGTGGCAGCAGCCTTTGTTAAGTGTTGGCTAAACGTTTAAATCTTTAGAAGGTATGGGAAGGTTTTGGTAAACATTTTTCAAATGAAACGTAAATTCCCAGCCTTAAAATAAAGCAAGTTTTACATTGTTCTCTTACACTAAAGTCTAGAAGAAGCATGACGTGTCGAATAAAGATGTAAGCTGGACAGCCAACTTTCTTGGATGCCTGCGTGCAAAGCCTCTGCTTGCCTTTTGCCCGAGGCTGGAAAAAACAAAGATGTCAAATAATGCCAATCAATTTGCATTCTATTCAACAAAGAATTCTTATTCCCATCACTGGATTCTAGAATTTATTTGTATATGATACATATGAAAATAACACAATTAAGAACATGTACTTCAGTTGGGCCTTACACTTATGTACAGGCCTCCTTTGCTGTCCAATCATCATAACCTGCTTCAGCTGATTAGGTTGAAACTTTGTGGACATACACAGATATAGTGCTGATGTGTCTATAATCATGCTAAGTTTCTATAAAAATTGCCAAGATCTTAATGGAGGGCCAATTCAGCACACTTTGTAGGCAGTATCAGAGACCTGGGTGAATCGTCATCAGAAAACAGTCACTTTGAAATCTATGCCATTCAAGCCTTTTCAGCAATCTGACAAGTGAATGCAAAGTCACCTTCTTGGCTGACTGGTAGTGGGGTTTTCCATGGTGGCAAGTCAGACGTCTATTACCCATCATGATGTAGGGCATTCCCTCCAGGCAGAGTCTAGGGGACAGTTCGTTGCCAAAGCCCTTACAATCCAAATGAATGTGGTGATGGTGCTTCATTTCCTCTGACAGAAATAAAAGAATGCCTTTGAAACTACAAAAGTAGGTACATATGTACATGTACATAAATGTAGTACAGAGGTAGTATTTCATGTTAAACTTTCTTGTTTAGAAGTGTAAACTACCAGTAACAGGAAGCAACGCCAACAGATGTGGTGAAAATTTGGCATTAAATAATTGGCACATGTAATTAATATTTATGGTCACAGCATATCATTTGCCACTGTTATAGCCTACACAGAAGTAGACAAAGTTAGTCAAAAAATAAGAGCTCTCTCTTATATGTTTGATTATAAACAGCAAGAAGCAGTATGAGTACCAAATGTTTTTCCGAAGTCTCTGTCAGGATTTGCCATCAGAAATTTGGAGGTTGTTTTGATCTCGTACTCTCTGACAAGCTCCTCCACTTTGTCGTAGCTTGAAACCCATGACAACAGCTGCTCCTTTGACCCTCCTGCCTCACTGGCCGACTGCTCAGCCTGAGGCATAGTCTGGGTCTCGTTTGCGGAGATCCACGAGTCTTGCACCGAACATTGTGATCCGAACGGTTCTACAGAATTGCTGAGGGAAGGTTTACGGTTTTCTTCAGCGGCTTGAATTTGGATATCAGCCTCTACCTTGGTTGGGTTTGGAATGATGTTGACACCCTGCGAGACCCCATCTGCAGCAATGACCATATGCAAGTCTTCAACATGTTCAATGTGGCAAGCTTCAGGCCTAGTGTTGGGGTCGACACCGATTTCACCGGAGCAATGTTGACCACGACCTTTGACCTCTGGAGATTTAACACAGTTCTCCATGCCACCTAGGGGAAAGGCTAAAATTGTACTGCTTGCTATTTTAGAGATATGCCAAATTCATCAATACAAAAAAGCTCTGCAGTGCTTTGTGTATATTGTCTTGGTTGTGATTGATTCTTAAATTGCCGAGGACGCTTTTGATTAAGACAAGGCATCATGCTACGGTCATGACGGTAGGCATGACATTGTTCGTCATGGGAAAGTGAGAATGCATACTTCTACACAGTCAAGATCTGTCCATTATTAGCTTAATAACAGCAGGAACGTCTATTTTACTAACTCTAATTCACCTGCTGAACGCCACTACATGTACATGTACATCTGGCATGGCTGCCTGGCATACATGTACATGTATGTAGGCCCATGGAGGAAGGAGGGTCCTCCTTCCTCCATGGTAGGCCCTATCACATGCATAGCGCGAAAACAAACACCGTCAAGTGATGCACATGTATCAATACAGCTGAAGGATACCACCCCTCCGATTCCGTCAAAATGAAATAAACTTTACTTTATAACATTCGCTTTCAAATTTTTTTCCAAATGATACGGACAGTGTTGCATTTTCCTTCAATTCTAGCTCAGTAAATTAACATTTTGTTGCGGACTTTTGCGGCAGCTCGTTCCATGATCCGCATGCACGACAGCGGCTGTATGTTGGTTTCATACCGCCCTCAAGAGCTAGCTAGCCGCGGGCCGGAGCCAAATTCAACAGCGCCATCCACAACTTAACCCGACGCGAATGATGCGCGGGATAAGACAGATTGCGGCATTTGTTTGGAATGGAAAAGGTCGAGTAAGGTAAAATGTTAGTGTTATGCTTCCTTGGCCTGTAGACGAAAAAACATGAAGAACTAAAAAGCACACATAACCTAGGCCTACGTTATGTTTGAAACCGCGGAGACCAGTCAGAGAGATTTATTTTGATCGATTACATTGAGACAGTCGCGTTCTTCATGTTCTCTTGTGTGACCAACAACCAATGGCAGCTAAATACATGTACAAATAATTACATCATATGTAGCCTACATGGACAAGCTTACAAATCTGTTGTCGGAAAATGTTGATGACAGTTCTTGGGACGAAGAACTTATTTGCCGTCTGCAGGTAGGTACATTTACATAGGACAGAATTTCATACACGAAGTTCACTGACTTAAACTTGCCTCAATGCAAGGGGCCTTATACACTTAATATTATTATTACTAGCCATGCGAATTAATTTACATGACCTGGCTTGGCCTAGAGTAGAGAGAGAAATTTAGCAGGGGAAATATTGAAACAAAATGGCATGATGCAGTTGTCTTTCGCCGAACTCGGGTAAAAGAAAATTCTGGTTTTCTTGCTTAAATATTGTCAACATTTACCCAAACTAGAGCTACATGTACTAGGATTAAGGAATGGATCTTCAAGGTCTGGATGTTGCTCAGTTCGAAAAACTTCATTTTGTTTTTCCTGATTATACATGTACATGTAGGTACAGGGTGCTAATGGTAATGAACGCCCCTTTTAGGGAGCAAGGTCCCTGCTCTCTCTCCTCCCTCCCATTGTCCTGAAAGGCCTGTAGGCCTAAATACACTTTGGCCTTAGGCCCTTCCTGACATTCTTTGAGTTACTATTGTTTCTACATTTATAATTTCATGGATTTTTGGACCACCTGCAATTTAATTTATCATAGGAATAGCCTGCCGGACATTAATTGTACATGTAATAAAATCAGTTGATTAGGGATGTGGTACTCTCCAAAATCATCTTCTCTCCTATTCATTCTTTTCATCAAGTTTGCATGAGCCTGTCACATCAGTTTTAATTTGGTAATGACAGCATTTTCACAATTGTTGATAGTGCTGAATCTTGCAAAACCCCAACTGTGAGGCCTGTACAGTTGGGACATTTGCCAATTGCACAATGTGCCATGTTGTGAGCTTTAAAACATGGGTTTCCCATCTAAAGAAACACTCGGAACAGACTATTTTTATTTGCTTGTTGCATTATATTTGAATAGAGTAAATGTGCTTTTTCTTTGTCTTGTACAATGTTCAAATTTGAATAGTTTCCTTAGCATTTTGGAACTTTATCCTGTAACTGAAACGTTGTTATGAAAATCCAGGAAGCCAGTATGAGACCAGAAAAATTAGATGTTCTTCAATCCATTCAAGGGACAGTTACAAAGATTTGTTTCAAACTATAACAGTTTCAGTAGTGTCTACACACTACACATTCTGATTTGTAGAGTGTAATATTCACAAACAAGTCAAGATCATCCATATTTTCATCATATTCATACTTTCAGGCCTACATCAGGGCTTTTCTGACCCGCAAGCAATTTCAGGAAGTGAGGAGCCTGTATAAGGAAATAGTCCGTGAAGTAGAAGGGGACATCCTCTTGGGTAACCAGACAAATGTCTCGTGGAGAACACATCTCCCTTGCAGGCCGCGTTGTTCCCCAAAAGTAAGCTGTAACACCAAAGTTATTGCCATGTGTTTCCTAAATTGTTTCCAGAGTTTCACTTGTGGAACTTTCTCCATAATCATTGTCACTGTTGTAGTTAAGGCTTCTCTTCTCAGTGTTTTAGGTTAGTCCATCACAAGTCCTTCCTCAGGACCTTTTGTAAGTCCTTTCACAAGAATGGTCATAAGTAACAGGGTGAAAATGACACAGGAATACTTCGGTTACAGTTCATTTGAATGGCTTCTGACTTGGCTTAAGAGTGGATGACTTGTGATGGACTTATAGGGACTTTCGATATATGTGGGCTTGACTATAGCACTGCGTTTCCTTTAGTATCGTGGCTTTGAATTTCTGCTGGTTGAAATTTGGCCCATAAACTAGTTGGGACAAAGTTGTCATTAGTGTTCATGTTGAAGACTTTTTGTGTTTTTCTGTAGCTTAGAAAGTGTTTTGCTGTTGTGAAAGACGGAACAAAGACTACACAGACCTGCCTCACTCCATCTGGCCAACGACCTGTTGAAGGTGCTGATCAGGATGTCAAGAGTCAAGGAACTGACCTTGATTCTAGAAGCCATCAGGAAGAGATCCCTTTTGAAGCAGATGGTAAGGAGTTATCAGGACTTGGCGGAGAATGCCAAGATCCTGTTCATCAAGTACATGCAGAGACCCTCCCTTCATGTGAAGGTGAAGGTTTACCTGAACTTGACAAAGTTCTTGTTAATCAAGGCCAAAGTTTGACCCCCTCTGAAGAAGGGAATGAATCAGTCGACTTTCATGATTCTACCAGACGACTTGAATCTGTATCTGAGAGAAGTAGCAAGCACTCCAAGCAGGGTTCCCCATCAACCAGTGTGGACTACACTCTCGATTTCGAATCTTGCTCCAGTTCAGCAACGTCAGAAGCTGCAAGATTAATTTCCACTAGTACTCAGCTGAAGTTGCAACAGGACTCCGGGAATGCTGCTTCTCTGGAACTTTGTGTCGTCGCACTTGCAGGTGACAAAACTGCAGTGACAGAGGGAAATTTGCCCAACGGGAATCAGGTCTCTGAAGTTACATCAGACAAGATGGATGAAAAGCAGATGGAAAAGAGAGAAAATGATTGGAATTCTGCCGAAGATTTCACCCCAGTCCAAAGCAGTGGGACCAACACCATATCACAACCAAATCTGCAAAGGCTGGATAGAAAATCCCCTGACGATTGCATACATGTAGATGGAATGGTGTCATCGACCAGAGATGAGGTCAGAACATTTTCACCAGAGGGAGACGAAGAAGCAATGTCTGTCTCACAAGAAGAGGCCAGTAAGTCTGGTGGAAGCTCAGATGCTAAAGATAGCCTCAAAGTTGCACCCTCAAAGATGCAGGATCTGACCGAGGAGAGTAGGGGAGACTTAAATGTACATGTAGCTTCCAACACGTTAACAGATTGCCAAGATCAAGTAAATAGAAACTCAAATCAAGATCAAGCAAACGGAAAGTCAAAAATGGAATCTGTCCCAACTCCACCTCATCCTCCAAACGTTTCTGATGAAGGGAAGGCGGCAGCAGAATCCACAATGCATGGGAGCAGAGATGAAGAAGAGGAGGGAGGTGGTTTGGGGCCAGCCACCAGGGAGATGCAGGAGGCTAGGGAAACCACTCGGCTGGCCTCAGAGAAGAGAAGCTATGAGCAAGACTTCTCCATCGCAGCGGATATGACATCCATCTGGAGCAATGAAAATTCATTCACGGGTAAGACAACATGCACTGTATCTACAATGTACATGTAGTTATCCAACGGGATACATGCACAAGCAATTTACTACACCTAATGATTAAATAATGTTTTTGTTTTCACTAGTTGTGATCCAACCTTTACTTTGAGTGGCAAGTTGTAAGGAGTACACTTGTTTCTTTGAATTACATGTAAACTCTGAACAAATGCAGTTCATGTACAATAGCAGGAACCACTTTCGTAGAATATTCACTAACTTACTAAGTCCAGAAAATTATGTGCTCAGCAAAAAAAGTCACTTGCAGATAAATGTACACATACATGTGTACATGTACATGTTTACCTTGCTTCTGATTGATTCTTGGGGAATTTTGCTTAGCACATGAAGCAAGATTTTCAGCTTAGTACCGGTACATGTACATTGTACATGTAGCAGTAGCTAATCGGATTCAGAGTCTTATATTCAACAGCTGTTGACTGCTGTGATATGGGATATGACGTTTTGAACACCCGAGGGATGCATAGCGCCCGGAGGTGAAGGCACTTACAAAGTTACATGTACATGTATACCTTGCTTGTGATTGATTCTTGGGGAATTTTGCTTAGCACATTAAGCTAGATTTTCAGCTTAGTACATGTACATGTACCAGTAGCTAATCGGATTCAGAGTCTTATATTCAACAGCTGTTGACTGCTGTGATATGGGATATGACGTTTTGAACACCCGAGGGATGCATAGCGCCCGGAGGTGAAGGCACTTACATGTACATGTATAATTATCCATTGGGTGTTCAGCAGTCAACAATTGTTTTGTCATACCTCTGTCTTAGTTACATTGAGCATGTTGAGGGCGTTGAATTTATCCAAAGAAACAAGCTCAGAAGTTCTGGAAACGATAGGCGTACTGTCAAACTGTACAATGAGCATAACATACGTAAATGGTATCCTATGCGAATACACTGTTCCCTCACTTTCTTTAATTGTGTAAATTTTAATGTGAAAGTACACTGTAGTGCAGGTACAATGTACTGGTGAGTACAAGTTCACCTGTCATGTACGTGTAGTCTGGTTAGCGGTCCCTTCATTACCTTACATGTACATGCTGTGGGAACGGGAACAAGTCTGTTATATGAGCACGACCATCAATCGAGTTTCCTTGTAACCTACAGTGTACATGTACATACATGCGACATGTATGCACAAAACTTACATGTACATTTATCATGGGTACCTTGCAAAACTGCATGAGCCACAGCGGTCGATCTTAAACTTTCCAAAGCTTTTCTGTCTTGTGCGCATGCTACGTGCTATCGGCAGAATGAAATGTCTCACAGTGAGTGTGATACGGGTATATATGGCCCTGTCATGTGATAGTTCTGGGCCAATGAACAGACAGTATCCAAGACAGAGGTATTACAGTATGCATGTACATGTACGGTAGAATGAGTCAGGTTTACATGTAAAAGCTTGTTGAGGGCAGTTCCCTAAAAGTTCTTTGTTTTACTTTCTGTACCCATGGCCAGGCCGTGCATGTACAGTACATGTATGTCAAATCGTCAGTTGCACTGGAACTATCAAAGTGCCAGCATACAATAGTTTTTGTTTCTAACCAAGTGGGATTAGATGGAGATAAGTTAGGAAACAGCGCTACAGAGAGGGAAGACCCAGTGAGCAGCCAGAGATACAGAAAAGGATTTTATTAGAAATGGATTCCAACAAAATATACAATTTGTGTCTATACAAGAGCAATTACATGTACATGTAAGTTATGATACCGGTTTGTACAGATCAATATTGGGGTATAAACGACAGTCAATTGTGGCAGTAACCGACACTGAGAGATTTCCAGGACTTAGTGGCAGTCAAGATTTCAAAATGGAAGGAGGTACAGGTGTATTAAACACGCAGCCTTCCACAATCTGTGCCCCTCCTGATGCCAACAATCCAGCTCCACATGACCCACGATGACTGAAAATCCAAAATGTTTTACAAACAGTGTTCAAGAGTATGAAGGCGTGGCAATACCGATAGTGTGTGATGCAGGCAAACAGGAAAAAGTCTGAAGAGACATGTGTTCTCCTTGGAGTTCGGAGGAGTTCTCCCTGAAAAATGTGCATTCTCGAGATAAGAAGACTACTGCCTGGCCAATGCATAATAGTGGATCAGCATCACTAAGATACAGGTAAAAGCTAAAAAGTACACAAAATTTTGGTGACAAAACGCAGAAAGGCGTTAGCAAGACTCTCTATGAGTGCACATGTGGCCAATGCGTGAGAATGCATCAGTGTTGCTAAAAATAAACGTTGAACAACACTTGTAATCATGACAAGACGCAGAAGGGCTTTTGCAAAGCTGTCTATGAGTGCACATGTGGTTAAATTTGCATAGCGCCGCATGGAATGTATTTGCAGAAAGCTGTCGCTAGAGGGCGCACTAACAATGTAATGGAAAAGTGTGTATACATACAAGAAAGAATGAAAGATGTGAAGGTGAGGGACCTGTTGATCATAAGAGAAAAAGGTCGACTGGTCACAGATTGTTTCTAATACAATGTACTGTATGTGAACAAAGGTACATGTACATTGTATGAGTGTGGTGACTTTTGTATGCATGATGTAGAAAAAGGAAACACTGCCCTCTATGGAGCATACTTCACAAGATTTTCTTTGCAGTGTTTATTACCAACTAACATTTCAGAATGTATATTCATGGTTTCTGCCCTGACACTGATGTACATTACATGTATGTTCATAGCACTGTACACTCAGTGTTGTCCGAGAGCTACAATGTACATGTAGCAAAAAACCCATGAGCATACTCGCGTGGGACTGGAACCCACAACCTCTTGCTTAACCTGTACCAGTACAGAAGTCTTAACCACTCAATTACCGAGCTTGCCAGGACCAGGTCAAACATAGCAGTGGATACCATGAACTATTTCAAACATATGGATAAAAAAGATTCAGGGAAAACATTTCAAGAAGTCCATAGTCTCTAAAACTCTGCTAACAATTTGAGGATATTAAACACATTCTGAGAATGAGATAAATGTTTGTGGTGAGACGTGTAGTCTACACTGGCAGTTAACCCAGAGAACTTTACCACATGACATTTGCCCAAATCAGATTTCCTTTCATAGTCTCTTTTACGTTTGGGCAACATTGAGGATTACGAGCTCATATTTCATTCTTGAATCAATTTCATGCTATGAATCTGGCTGTTACCTAACTTTGATTGATGTTATCCTTGGCTCCATCCTCTATATAGAAACAAATTTTGGGAGGACAGAACAACAAAGAATGTTTGAAACATCTCACATTTCAAATGCTATCCCCAAAATATACAAGACCTTTAGAAAACTTCTCTAAGCCGTGCCCCTGAGCATGCCGCAGCTGCTCTTATATTTTGACAATAAACAACCAGAAATTTAAGGGAAATTAATCAATCTTGTTTACAAGCAAAGAGAATTCCGTCTGTATTTTTGTTCGTGCGGAACTGAAGACACAAGCAGTTTAACCTTTTCCGTTTTGGGACTTGACAAGAATTATGATATAAAAAAAGAAAAAAAGATAGTGTCTGAAGAACGCACACAATTTATCACCACCCCAGAGTGTATGTTTGGAGATGTCCCTTCTTTGCAGCCATATGACAGACTGGCGTGTATACATACTGTGTCAAGTTTTGATAGTCTTGAGATTTTCCCCAGTAACAGCTGGGCCAAGGAATTGGTCTTGAACGTGTTCATGCACTATTTCCTCCATGACTCGTCAGGAAACTGAAACCTTTTGTTAAATGTACAATGTACATGTACTTTTCTACATTTATACATGCACATGTACATTTACATCAATTGAGTGCGTTGACTTGTGTGTGTACTTACATACGTGTACATGTACATGTAGCCCTGATTTGTGATTTGTCATCATTGAATCCTTTTATTTGGTTTTATTTGTTTATTATTTAGCTGAATGTACTGCAAAAACTTGCAAAACATACAAGTTCTGCATCTTGTGATATGGCGCACGTTTCTGTTTTTCATGTTTTTATTCCAGTAACTACATGTATACATGTATTGAGCATCCACACCAAGGCCTTACCATGTACATTACCTTTGGCATGCACATACATTGCTTGATGCTGAATTAGTGAAACAATACATGTAAGGTGCAGTCCGGTCCACCAAGCGGCAAAGAAAAAGCCTGGTCAGTAGAATACATCAGCCATGAAATACAGTGTACAGTATACCTAAGCAAATACAAGTACACGTACATGTATGTACTTGTACATATTCTAGTCCTTTGGGGCATCCTGGTGATTTGCTACAACCGGATTAATTTGATGCATTTGTGGTTCCAGAACACAGCGAGTCAGATATTAATATGGATGACATTTGATTGCGTTTCTTTATACATGTACATGTATTGTCTTCTTTCTTTCCAACTGTTCTTCTCAAGTAAAGTACTGTACATGTACATGTATATTCCTTGGTCTCCTGTTGAAATCTGTTCTTATGAGTTACATGTACAGTGAACCGGTATGTTGCGTATAATACATGTACATGTACATGGAGTTGCATTGATTGGTCTCCTACCACATCTACCATTGCATTCTATTTGCCTAAGGCTCAGTAACTGCACACACGCGTACATGCACTTCATTCCAGTCTTCAAATATTCATCCTGTGATTCCTCTTCACCAAGTGTCACAGACCGGATTTCTCTCTTCATATCTTGAAATGTGTTTACATGTATGTAAACATTCACATACATGTACACATACGAGTAAACAACAGCCAGTCTGCCAAACTTGCTAGGGCCTATGACCACGACCATCCTCAGTCTTGACTCATCATCCCTGCTCCTGGGTGGACCATAAAACTGACATGTTTACCAAAACATCTGCCCATCCAGAACTTCAGAAATCAGCCCCCCCCCCTCTTTCTCACAAAAAGTCAGGCATTCCTCACTCAGTCATGACCCATACAGTGTAGTCTGTCGGGGCCATTCAGCAGCTTGGCCACACATGCGTGCACTCACAGTGCACGTGATAAACTGCCTGGCGAAACTCGCAGCCTGTCATCCCGACAATAAATCATGGATCCATCTTCCCCGACCAGCGAATGGCATAGGGTACCATTTGCAGTTCCCCAGACTTCAAGTTCATGAGCAGTAACACACTGCCTGGCTGCAGCTGCCCAGCTGGGAGAGATTCTCAAATGCACTTCCAGGAATGCGATAGCATAATACATGTACATGTATGCTTGATGATGTGATTTTTTTTTCTGATTAAGATTTTAAAAATTTGATACCGCTATCATTCATTCAGCACAGGCAACATACGTGTACATGCGCTTATACAATACATGGGGCCTTGTGGGGTACCGGAACAATGGGAAGTACCCCACAAGGCCAGTTTTTACCTTGTGGGGTACCAAAATTGGTACCCCAAAAGAATTTCACGAAACTGATATTGGAAATAACTCAAAAAGAGGAAATTTTTGATGAATAAAAATCGTCGCAAATTGAAGTGTTTTATGTAAGGGACATACGGTCGAAATTTCAACCCAGGAAACTGAATTTGGTTTAAATTGGAGTGATTTGCAATTTTTTTGCGTGTTGTGTGGGAGTTTTGTACATGAGAACAAAGGAAATACCCCACAAGTATAGCTGTGTAAGGATGGGTGTACATCCTGTATGTAACTCTTTTTCTGTGAACAAACACACATACAGACACCCACTCTTACATATGTACATGTATACTTGTGGGATATTTCCTTTGTTCTTGTATACAAAACTCCCGCACAACACAGAAAAAATCTCAAATCACTGCCATTTCAACCAAAGTCAGTTTCCTTGGTTGAAATTTTGACCATTTGACCCTTATATAAAACACTTCAATTTTCGACAGATGAATGGCGCTTGAAAATTCCTCCTTTTTGAGTAAATTTGAAATATCTATTTCGTGAAATTCTTGTGGGGTACCACTTTAGTACCCCACAAGGTTCAAAAGTGGCCTTGTGGGGTACCTTCCATTGTTATGGTACCCCACAAGGCACCATCATGGTGCATTGTGGGGTACCGCCGTATACAAGCGCACACACCCTTACATGTACCTTACATACAGTACATGTACATGTAGTGTGGACATTCCTGTCTTTTCATGCAGTTAAGAAAACTCAGTGCAAATACTCATTTTTCTTGAACTGGGAACACGATTTTCAGCTGGCTTTTTGCACAAGGTTTCCTTGACTATTCCTCATCCTTTTAAGACGGATGACCCCCTACCCCAAAATGCCTCTGAATTTCTTTTTCAGAGAAGGGAAACGTCCTGTGGGCAATTGTACATGTAAGTCCACAGAACGTCTTCCATTCCTGCACTGTGTGGACATCTTTTGTTCACAAGTCCACACTAGGTATGTAAAGTTAGCACCCCATTTCTCATACGTACATGTACACTGCATTTTGGAGAACTACCCCTGGGAAATATTAAGAATTGGAACAGGGGAGCACTGAAAGGACAGATTTTACACTGTCATGTCTGTCATCAGATGAGGATTAGATCCTACCATTCCTGCGGTAGTACATCTGATCTTCTCAGTCTTACCAGAGAATGACCCATTTCTGTGACGTGAGTCAGAAGTTACCACTTTTAGAAATGTTTCTTGATTTGCAGACCTTGCGGGAAATATACATGCAACCTGTACTTATCAACTTGTCTTTTTAACATGTTTATTTAAAGATAAATCTACGTACAGTGTAGGTTTCTGCTTGGTAAAAATCGATTTTAGAAAGAGTGGTGCATTGAATACATGTAAGTGTGGTTACATGTATGGCCTGTGGGGTGCTTTGCTGTCAAATGTAATACCACATGTACAATGTGCATATACATGTATGTTTCTGTGGAAAACCCCTCACATAATGAAAGTGTTCCATATTGAAAAAGAGGACCCTTCCAGACTGCTCCAAAATCAATGTACAGTACATGTACATGTTGTGGTTTTTGAACACAAAGTGAAACTTGCCTGGCTAGCTGTGCTCCCAGGTTCTGTGGAAAACCCAACTATGTACAAGTACAGTGTGTACATATGTACATTGTGCAAATTTTACTTGGCAAAGGGTTTGGGGCCGTGCAAAGAGCTGTATGTGACCCATATATGAAAGGGAGTATTGCATAGTGCATGTACATGCATGTGTAAAAATTGATCATTTTGTGAATAATGATTGATTTTATCATTTATTTTTCAGAGATGCCTGACTCTGATTATCCGATTGATCTCAGGGAACTGCAGAGGCTGCGCAACAGTGTTGCCCTGGAGCTGCTCTGGGTACAGCAAGCTATTGCCAGTAGAAAGAATGTAAGTTCAAAGTGCAGATGTACATGTAAGCCTAAGTGCGCTTGCAGATTACACAAGTCGTGCCCCGGCAGGGGCTGCATTGTCAGAAAGATTTCTGTTGTCTGCGAAATTTCATTTTGGTCGAGTTGTGGGGACTTTTAAGTGTCGCACAATTTTTTTGTCCCCACAATAACTGTTTCATAATTTCTGTCAGCCTCAGCCCAGTAACATACATGTACATTGTACATGTGTGTAGTACATGTACCCTGCATAAGACACACTTGAGCTAGAGCTAGAAGTAGTTTCAGTAGTTTGTAAAATAGCAACATATTAAGTATGTAACCTCCGGGACATTGCCTGCTGAGACATTCCAACAGAAATAAATGCATCAGAATTTCTGTGGAAGTCTGCGATTAAATCTCTTTACATAGCCTAGTTTTCATGCATCTGAAATAAGGGTGTTATGTTTACACGTTTGAAGGGTTACTTGTGGGTGTACATGTAAAAAGTTCAGTGAACGTTTACAGATTTCCCAAATGTTTAAATGAAACTTGTTTTTTCCAGGTTTGACATTTGATTGATAGGGGTGGATCCAGGAATTTTTCCAGAGGGGAGGGAGTCAGGCCAGAGATTTTTTTTAATGTCTTGCTTTTTGCGGACAAGCAGAAATGAAGATGAGATATTACATGACATACATCGTTTACAAAGGTATTGGTGCACTTACTTCAGTCACATGTACATGTATTTGTATTATTGTCCAATTTTTGTACTTTTTTTTAGAGTGGGGTGGCAGGCAGGTTTGATCCCCCACCACCCCCTGATCTGCGCTTGATCTGGCATTCATTGTTTTAAACAGTCCACATAATGCATTCCTTCTATACCGGTATAGTGTTTTTCTTTCATCCATCTACTTAAGGGGGGTGTGTGATTAAATTCAAAACAAGAAATATTGAAATTACTTTGAATGCCCCAACATCAATCTGCACTAATAGATTGGACCAATCTTGTGTAATGTTGATGAAGTGTCTGCCGACATTTGAACATTATGCCATAAACTTTGAAGTAGCGTTGCTGAGCTCCTTGAAAATCAAGCTTTCTTGGTGAAAGTGGTCTTATGAGACGTTATTACCTTGAGAAAATACATGTACGTATACACCCAAGGACTATCATCTGACAACACACACTTTGACAGCTTCCCATTCATGGAAGTATACATGTACATGTAACTCCTCTTCCCCGTGCCGCCCTTCCCATTTCATCATCTTCTAAGCATCCAAACCAAACCCATATTAGTTCTCTCCGCAGCCGCGCATCTTAGAATGTATACATGTACATGTAGATGGTGGAGGGGTTATCGAGAGTAGTAAATTCTAGAAACGGAGCAGAGGATGCTGCTGTCTTCATCAACACTGTTTGTATCCATCAATCTAATCGCATCCTCACTGGTTGCTTTATAAGCTGTGTGGGCAAAGTATTTGGCCTTCTTTGAAACAGTATGCAATTCCCACACAGTGCACTGGGTTGACCCTGCATCAGTGCCGAGTGCGCTCTCGGTGGTACTAGCCAACCGCGTTGTCTCATGATAAAGTGTATGCATTAAGCGCGCCACAGTGCAATGTGCGTAAATTTGATGTAAACAACTACGTCTACATGTACGTAAAAATTACGTGCGGTGTGCACGTTTGCACTGGTTGTGCATTAATATCAATCCAATCTCCTAATTGACATGCAGCTCGCACAGGATCATAAGTTTTAAAAGTGGTGTCATAATTGTAAATCTTGGGTGTACATGTGTAAGGCATATGCGTGCGTTGGTGACTTCCTCTTGATATTTCCAATGCACGGTTGGTATTTACTATTGCCGCAGAAGAAATACATGTGCATGCTGCTACCTTGCCGCCAACGAGCCCTTAGTCATGGGTTGTTTGAATACGAGGAAAGTGTGTCATGTCTTCAAGTATGCAGTCCTCCTCTCCATTCTAGGGATTTTCATACCGTACTGTGCGTGTGGGCAGGATTGCCAAGCTGCGAAAGCCCAATTTCATGGCGCTGCTTACTGCAGAATTCCGCGCTTACGATCTCTATTCTACGCTAACCGCGCCAGCGGAAAAATTGTGCTAATAACCTTTTAAGCACGGAATCCTTGGTTACGGGATATGTAGGCATGCGCACAAGCCGAAATTCCTCGCTAACCCGTGAAATACGTTCGCCCTAAGCACATAATTTTCTGCTACGGTAAGCGCCATGAAACTAGGTCCAGTAGTGGGGCCGAAGCTGTGGCTCTTCGATACCAATGTGAGATATAGGAGCCCCAGAACAAAATGGAAAAAAAATACATATAGTAATCGATCTCAAACCTCCCCGGTAACAACACCAGAGGGAGCTGCAATGGGGATTACTCCAAATGTCACACAGCATCAACGGCAGAGGAAATCATGTCGAGAAGGGGGACCGGCTCAGTTTTCCGCGGATGGCTGCTTATGTCTAACGCGCTCCGTCACTTTTCTCTTGGTTACATACATGTACATGTATGTGGGTGTGTTGGTAGGCCTTGCCCGCGTTAAGGATTCAAATTCTTCTGTAGGGAAAAGTTGGAAAGCGCGTTATGGGGTCAAAACTTTGTCTTGGTCCCCACAGAATAGTTGAAAAGACAGGTGTACATGTACATGCATGTCCCTACAGCTACGGTAAAAGTATGTGTGCGTGCATGCTTTGTCCGTCTTGCGATCCTATTAAATCCTTCGAGAGAGTCCCGGAATCTTCTAGCTGTGCGCCTTTTACTTAACGGCATCGCTGGATGACTCTCACATTTTCCTAGGGTAACAGGAATTTCAGTCTCGATCACGGCCACAGCACCGGAGACGGGAGACTCCGTCAAAATTTCATATCCTTGACAAGAATTGATGGCACTGGCTCTTTGGACCCACAGCCCCCGAGTGAGCTCTAAAAATGCACTCAAGTACACGTACGCAGATGCACATGCATGTGCGAGGATAAAAAGTTCAAACTTTAGAAGTAAATGATACACTTATTACACGTTTCCCCTTCCTGTAAGTTGGATGAGCCGAAGTCCGTCAACGTAGATTACTGTAACAGCACATAAGGTTAACATGTGATTTTCCGTTTTAATATAATATGAAGTGCTTTGTGCACGTTGATGCGCCCAAATAACCGTAAACCTTCGTGATAAAAATAAAAAGTATGCCTTGTACGGTACTTGTGACCTTGTGCCTAGATCAACATTGATCCCCGGAAAGTGCGCATGAAAGCAGCCATGATCTGCGGTCCATTCACTAGGTTTGAAAATTGAAGTCAACACAGATGTTTCCATCCAGCAGAAACTTCAAATGTTTTGGCAGAGCCACGTCAGCCGCAAAGATTATAGTGACTTTCCAAGCTGAAAGTTTGCAGGTAACAAATGTTGGTGACAAGGATGCATTCTTAAAACAGGGAAATTGCTGATATTGAGCATGACTAATGAAGTCGAAGATAGCCTGGTAGGTGAAATCCATTGCTCGTTCAAGTCTGTTCCTCCACTTTTCCCGCGTCTAGGAGGGCTCACGTGCAACTCATAGAAAGAATTTTAGTTTTTTTTTTATTTTTCCGATCGGCCGAAGCTGGAATTAGGTCACTGAGCAGTTCATGTCCGTGTAGGTTTTAAAAAGAATAGTGTCATTTGGGGGCCTAGTTCTGTTTCGTTTTTCGTAACGAGCCCATAAAGTTGACCTTTTTGGGGGAGAAATCTGATGGTGTTGGATTGGAACACCAGGTTTTTTATCACGTTTGTGTGGCGTTTAATGCTTCTGACATGGCACGGCATTTTTTTTTAAGGCATTTGGAAACACGCAGAATGTTGAATGTCGTTGGCATGCATGTACTTAATGCACATCGTCTTTTTTGAAGATTCCCACCATGAGACACACTCGTGCTTTTTTTCATACAAACAAATATCCACCGATTCTAGCCTCTACGTGCAAACAAGAAAGTGATGATTGTTACCGGTAGCCTTACAATTAGCGCGGACAGTTTCTGATGAAAAATAAAAATGTCATAGATGCGATGCACAGAACGTCCTTCACCTGTGCCCAGTTTCTCCAGTCCGCTGACCGAAAGAGTTGAGTTTCAGACTGTGGTTTACATTTCGCGGTCCGCTGAACTGTGTCATTACTTTAACTGTTCCAGCATGCTTGGCGCACATAGAGCAAATCCGTCTTCCATCGCAGTTGCCTTCATTAACGCTCCTCAGAAGGAGGTTAAGAGACGGCAATAGTGTATAATCAGTCACAAAGTGACTGTCTGTCGTCCTTGGAATTCGTCTACAGTCGATAATTTATTTGATGTGACAAACGGCCATACATGTAACTGCACAACTTGGTCGTGTGCGTTAAGTCAAGTCTCAAGAAGAAACCACTTTTTATGCCAAAGTACAGAACAGATGTAGTTCATTTTTAGGTTAGATGAACGAAGTCAGTTGTTCAGTTGTAGCTTGATTCTACTGCATGTAATTGATGTAGAGTAAGCTTTCCCAGTAGGTACTTGTAGATCACTGCACACACGGGAGTGTCTCCAGCAGTAATAAAGGAATTACTTTGTGCAAGTTTTTGTTCAGATTAAAAATGTCGACGGCTACATTTTGTGCAGCACCTTGGAACAATGCTTTTGCCACTACATTGAACATTAAAATGTGCTGTGATTCGCGTGCCACTGCTTAAATTAGTCAATAAATATGTAAAGAAATGACTCGACCATTCCTTTCTGTGCTTTTTACCTATTTTATGTAGTACCTGAGGCTGAAGAGTAACATGGAGCCGCCTGGGCAGCAGAGAGCTGAAAACCTCTGATATTTGGAAAAGGCAATGGTAAAATTAGTGTCGTAGTCCATGATATTGTTGGGTTAATTTTACGTGAGTGTTTGTTTCTTGTATGTTCTTAATATTTGCATCCTCCAAAATGTTCGCATCCTTCAAAATCACATATAAGTCATCGACGAAAAAGCATGAATTACATGTATTGGGCTTTTCATTTTACACGAAACTGGTAGAAATTTATTGCAGTTCAGCACCAGTTGGATCATCACCTTTTCTGATTTAGCCGTTTTGTTGCCAGCGTAGAACCAGCCCCTTGGTGTTCTTGATAGCAAAGTTGCAGGTCATCAAATGGTTACCTCATGAGGTTTTGTTAATCACAGCATATAGACATAATATCTGGAACACTTCACTTCAAAGCAAACATTTTTTCTCAGAATTCATTACTAGAGCCTCTGCCTTTTGAAAGAAATTTATTAAACGAGACGAACGTTCTTTAATGGTGTTGAAAACCACTCAAAGCTTTCTCGCAGTGAGCTTTCTGTGGACAGGCAGTCCTCAGAGGACTGCCAACAGGTATTTTTTCATTGGGTGAACTACACTCAGTCCTAATTTCTAGAAGAACATTCTGTTTAGTCGATATCTGGCTCACATTTTGAAGAACAGAACAGAATTGCATACATGTACATCTGTGCTGCCAGTCAACCGCGGAACTCGCGCGCTGCCTAAAGTAGATCATATTTTCGAAGAAGGACGACAAGACAAGTTTGAGAAGAAAAACAGTGTCAAGACTGCTGTCTAGTGGATTAGCCTACTCTAAGACGTTTCTTGTAGCTGGGCATTTTCTTTACAGAAATGGCATTGTGCATGTGGCTAGGGATTTGATAAACTGGTTCTGTATGTGGGGTTCGCTGAAGAATTTAATCAGCAGTGCATGCATTGTGCGTGCGAAATCGGCACTCTACGAACCAAATCTGAAAGATTTCAGATTGGACATCCTGTGTCTTCCTTGCTGTTACAATGACGCATACGGCTTCCTCGGTTGTGCGTCGTAGAGTACGGTATGACTGTAAAATCTATCAATTTCGTGTAGTTTCTGTCTTTGTTGGCAGGTATTATACCAAGTCTAAAATCCAAAACACTGCTTGTTTGCATTAAACAATCGCCACAGCCTTCATAAACATCTTCAATCCATACAGGACAAATCATAGCATAAAGTGTGTGCCAAAATGTACACGTACACATGCATACATGTACGTTGACTAGAATGTCTACTCCTTGAATCGACATGTTGACTGTCAAACATGTAGATGAAAATAATGTTTCATATGTTTCAAGTAAAGCGTGACCTCTTGTGCGCATCATACTAAAAAATGTGACATTATCTCCCCTCTGAAGTTTCTTGTTAGTACATGTACATGTATTTCGCGTCTCATTTGTTTTTCTATGTGAACTTAAAAATTCAAGATAGCAAATTTTATACTTTGCTTTTCGTTTTTGATTTAAGAACAATCAGTATATGCTGCTCCAGGTTTTGTCATTATTTCAGTACTGCTTTGAATTTTGCTTTATTTTGCTGATCATAATGTTGATGTGTTATATAAACTGGCATTTGGAACACTCATTTTGTTGGTTGGTCAGTCGGCCCTTTTTGTTGTAGTTGGTATGAGATGGTACATGGGCATGCAGTTGGTTGGGCCAGTTGGCTCATGCTGGCTGTCTTGGTACTTGCACGTAGGCCTTGTGAACTAGCAGATTCTATCTTTGCTATTGTTTGTGGGGGTGTTTAGTTGGAACTCTGCTATTTCCCTGTTCCCCTGTTGACTTTTGACCTTCCGGCCATTTTCTTTCGGCCTGGTATGTATACTACGCAAAAGTCAAATGAAACCTTTCAAACACAAACTTTTCTCAACTTGGAGTAAAATGGCCAAATTTAATTTGTTTTCATTGCACATAGGTGTTCGAATGGGTTCCCTCGCAGAAATGAAATGTAAGAAAAACACAATCCGTGCTTTTGTCCAGTGATGTTAATTGCTTCGACCTCTACGGATGTTGTGCAATTACCAAATGGACTGGGCGGGCGATTCTGTGAGAAATATTTATATTTTCGTAAGGCGCCAACATAAATATAGGGGCTACGTTGTTTGGATTGTGGACGTGTTCTTTGTTTTGATAATTAGAAATAAGTGTCTGTGCTGTGTTAATCTTTTTGACGTGTGATAGGTGGTATTTAAAAAGAAGTGTTTTAATCTACAGAACTGGTCTTGTTTAAAAGATTGCTCTTGAGAAATAAGAGAGAGTTTTTCGTCGAGACGAAATTAGCTGGGGATCTATAAAAGGGAATGTTTCGCGTAAACCGATTGCTGTTGGTTTTTACGGTTACGGAGTACATGTACCAACACTACTCCGAGTCTTAATTGGTATAAATTACATAGATGTTTGCTAAACATCTCGTCACTGTGAAAAATGAAGCCGACTAGCTTACTTCTTGTAATCTAACGCCAAATGGACCCTTTCTGGAAGACGCTTGTTTTGAAAAAAGAAAAGCCTACTGTTTTATGTACACGTATACTGTTGAATGTTGAATGCTTGAGCTGTTGTTTTGCTCAAAATAATCCAACATCGAATCTTGAAAAATGGCTTTTTTTATTCTTGACTTCAAAAAAGCACGGAAAACGCGGGGTCTCTTGACGTACATGCAGAACAAAACATCAGGATTTCTGAAGCCGACTACATGTATGCCACTTTAATTGACATTCAGAACTTTGTGTACGTCTTACGAGGAACTTCCTCGTACAGTAGCTTTCCCGTGTCGAATTCAAATTGATATGATTGATTTCTAGACATTGTATGAATTAGCATTTAGTCTGCGTACGGAATGCATGTTTCCAACCATCTGCCAAACCAATTTACCGGGGTGTAGCTGCAGAACGAAGATGAAAATCATTTTGGCAGAGTCTGATGAATTTAAATTACCCGCATGGGACGATACACCGGGGCCCTTTTGTAACGCTTGGCGGGAGCGGAGTGAGAGATCATCGGGACGGAAGCAACCCTTTTCCGCCACCGATCGATCGCGACTCTATTTATTCCCCCATCGTGCTAAAAGGACAGGGAGGAAAATATGAATATTTAGAAAGCAAATATCACAGGTGGAGTGGCAAGAGCCGGGGACGACTCACGAACATCAAAGTTAATCGTTTCTGTGTGACGGCTCCTGCAGTGTGCATGGCAGTTTTTAACAAGTGCAACAACAGTTTGTTTTCTCATTGAGTATCCGAAAACTGCGAAGTGGTGGAAACGTTTCTGACATCCACTCTCGTATCTTGGAATGGCGCAGGTAGTATAAGCCTCATGTGCATTTGTTTTACCTAGATATTCAAAGGAAAATCAGCATTTTATTTACTCACACAAGACGTGCACCTCTCTAACATCGAAAGAATAATGCAGTGTTCACGTAGTTCTGCGAGAGCTGTAACTTGCATGACTTAGAAGGGTGCTGTATGGAGCATTGTTAGGGATACAATGAGAATATCGGCAAGAATTGCTACAGATAAACTTTTGAAAAAAAATCAGTTCAAAGCAGATCAAGTGGATGACGGCAGAGAAACCCACGATAATTATGGGTAACTGCGTACAGATAAAGTATCTCAAGTTCCCTCGACGCTGTTTAACCGACTTTCCTATATTCTGTGAAAGAGTCTCTGAGTTTCCCTTTGCGAAATAAGACGCAACTCGATTTCGATGGGATCGAATCTTAACCCTCGTGAATAAGGACCACTCTAAATATAGTCCATTATTGATTATTTGACCCCCCCCACCATCAAACTCAAGATCGGAGTAACTGACTATTCTCAAAGAAGTGCTTTTCCTGAATGTCACAAGCATCCGGTTTCCCCGTCCCCCGTTGCTCTCTTCTTTCCCTAATTCGGGACACCACCTGCCCCCATTTTTCTCCTTGATTGCGCCCCTGCGAAGCTGTGAATGAAACTAGTGTCGCGTATCACCGAGTCTTCCTTTTTTCGCGGTATAGACGATTGGTTGCAGGGTTCTGATCCCTTGCACGAGATATGAACGGGCCCCAAGCAATTTTCATTTTCGTGGCTCCTGTTTGCTATGATCGGCACCATTCTTTCCACGTGAGAACTTTGTGTATGTTGTTGTGGATAGTTGTCACGTCACTGCCCCAAAGAATCAAGGCCTTAATCAGAATTTTCTTGCTGTTCGCGCGCACAAACATAAGTCGGTCATTATAAATAACTGCTTGTTTTCGCCAGGAACACAGAATAGGAAATTGCGAAAATTTACAGGTTGTTTCTGGATGCTGTTTCAACCGCTGCCAAGTGGTCATCAGTACTTTGTAACACCTGTTCCCCAAACCTACATCATTTTTGCAAGTATATGAATCGTCATTAG